CGGTCGGTAATTGCTGATCTCATTGGGTTCTCCCTTTTTAAAAATTGGTAGGACATTTGCAATTTTCAAGCAGTCAGGGAAAGTAAGTGTTTTAATACTTGTATTAATTAATTTCGTAAGGGGAGATATTATGACATCCAGAACGGTTTTGACTATTTCAACACTAAGACCATAGATATCTTTGGTTTTACTATTTCTTAATTTTTTTACGACATCACGAACTTCAGCGCAAGACACTTCGCTAAACTGAAAATACGTTAAACTATTATCACAGTTATTATTGCACATTAACAGAATGGGATCACAGTTTGAATGAGGAAGCTTATTAATCACATTTTTTGCGATGTTACAAAAAAAATCATTAAAATCATGAGCACTTTTATTACAACCGCATATTTTATTCGTTTTCTTAACACTTCGTTTAGAATTAATCATAGACCACATTGCTCGCATTTTATTATGAGATTGATTTATATATTTATCGTTAGCACTGATTTTTGCGTTTTTAATTGCTTCTCGATACATTTTGCGATATGAGTTTCTAGATTTTTTGATATCAAGGCGATTTGTTAGAAGATAAAGATCATTCAACTTGGATAAGTTATTTTTCATAGTTTTTAGATGGTAGGAATACCAATGAATGCGTTTACAATAAGATGGTTCAATTACTTTTTCTGGGAACGAGATACAAACATAGTGCTCCAAAACATTGAGAAAATCTTCAAAAGCCTTGTTTATGTCGTATGCGCAGTTACAGGTGATAGGATTCCAATCAACCGCTTCAAGATGTTTATACAAACAAAATTTCCCAATTTCAGTGATTGGTCTAATGATTAAAGAATTCTCATTGAACTGGTTGACTGGAATATTTGTTTCAAACAATATTCCCAAATGGTCCGAGAGGCCTAAGTTCATGGGTTGAATATGAATAGAATGAGTTTGAATATTCGTGAATACATTGTCTAGACGATTATTCCCTCTAGTATTAAAATTAACTAACGGCTTTAAACCATATCCTAGAAATAAATCTAACAGATTATTTTTCCTTGTATTGTTAGAATTAAAAACAATATTGAAATCGCCACCTATGATAATATTTTTTGTAACATCCAAACAGGTAAGCAGTCTATTTACAATAGCTATGAATTCGTCAAAGGCACTCAATGGAGGTCGATATAAGGAGACAACTGTTAAATTCATGGAGGGTATTAGAATGGCAGATATTTCACAAATTCTGCTGAAAGAGAGCGCTGTTAATTTGGGTAAACCATCCGCTCCAAATTGTTGTTGGGTGAATATAATCGATCCCCCATATCCGTCATCATCTCTTGAGAAGCAAGATTTTATTACGTAGTCATCTATTGTCACAGTGTCACACTCGGCACTCGTCAACCAGTGCTCAGTGAGACATAGGATGGAAGGGGAAAGTTTATGCTCCTCAAGGAATGCTTCTATTTCACCAATTTTGTTTCTTAAAGACTGGACATTAAAAAACAAGATTTTGATGTTGTAATTACCTGTGGTGGGTCGGATGTGGTTGCGTTTCAGTTTTGGACTTTTTGCCGTTGTCCTAAAAAAGTTGTCATATTTGTCTTTTCTCCTTTGTATTGGGAAATATCGTTCGTCTGTTCTCTTGGAAAATAATAGCGATTAAGAACTATTCCGTTAGGCCAAAAATTTTCGTCCAATATTTTGTCTTTATCCTGAAGTGGGATCGAAATTTTGAAAGATGCTATTCGATCTTTGTTTTTGAGGGAGAGTTTTTCCACTTTCGAGTTGCAAACTGTCCCAATGTGCTTCTTTATGTCCTCATCGGTAGTATCAGGGTCAAAACGGGTTGCAAACAAAAGGATTTTCTTTTCTGCAGCTTTCAACGTCGAGGTGGTACTGGTGTTGTTGTTTCCAATAACAAGAGGGCGACTTTTCTTTTTGTGTTTATAGCGTACTTCGACAAAATCGGTATCATTATGTAATGTAGTAGGGGTAGTAGTGTTTACACCCTTATCCTTATTTATTCCTGTGGTCCCTTTTTTGGAAAGATCTATGATTGTATTCATTAGATTTAGTTGGTCTTTTTCCAAAGAGGTCAAGTTGGGTTCATTAGTCTCGGATAATTTTTGTGATTTTTGATTATTGATGTTCTTATCATGCACTTTCTCTTTCGGTTGCTTGGTGCTTTTTGTAGTTGTAGGTTTTATACTGTCACTTGCCTTATCTCGCTGATTATTACTGATCGATCGTTTCAATGCAAGGATTTCCTCACGTAAATGAGAAATTTCATCAACAAGCGGAGCTACTGCTGCACTAACTACATCTCTGATGATCTCTGTTAGTGATCCATACTGAGATAGGTCCGAATTATCCGGGATTAAGATGGAATTTGGAATGTTACACTCACTTTTTTTGCAGCACTTCATTGTTGTTGCACTAAGTACTTCGAGATGTCGTAGATATTGGGAACAGCTGGGATGACACATAGAGCCACAATTTATACACGTTAAGCCACTGTCTATTAGATATTTACATTTTAAACACGGAGCTTTAGTTGGTGCGTCTTGTTTGTTCGCCATCTTGATTTTTTTCCAAACTGAAATATCGAAAAATGAACATTTCGAAAAGTCGAAAAGTAGGGAAATTAGAAAATTAAAAAATCGAACAATCGAAAAGTTGAAAACTCGTCAAGTCGAAAAATCCTAAAACCGAAAATTTAGAAACGCCAAAAAACGGTAAGTCGAAAAATTGAAAATTCTAAAATTTAAAAAATCGAAAAATTGGATAATTTAAAAAGCAAAAAATTTAATCGAAATATTGATAAATTCCAAAACTGAAGTATCCAAAAATTGGAAAATCCAAAAATCGAAAAGTTGAAAAATCGTCAAGTCGAAAAATCAAAAATTTTAAAAATTTTGAAATCAAAAACCTAAAAAATCAAAAAACTGAAGAATTGGAAAATATGAAAAATGCAGAAATCAAGAAGTAGAAAAACCGAGAAATCAAAAAGCCGAATAATCGAAAAATTGGTCAATCTAGAAATCGAAAATTTAGAAATGTCAAAAATCAGAAACCTAAAAAAACGAAAAATTGCAAAAAAAAACTGAAAAAATAGAGCAATCGAGAAACAGAAAAATTGAAGAATAGAAAATTCATCAGGTGGAATAACCGAAAATTTTAAAAATCCAAACTTCAAAATCTTGAAAAATCGAAAAATTGAAAAACTAAAAAATGGAGAAAGCGATAAGTCGAAAAATCGAGAAATGGAAAAAATTTAATAAAAAAAAACCTGACAACAAAATATCAACAAATTGAAACATTGAAAAAAAGGTGAAATCGAAACATGGAAAAATTAAAAATTCGAAAACTTTAAAGTTTAAAAAATCGCAAAATTGAAAACGAAATATGGAAAAATTAAAAAATCGAAATACTGAAAAATTTTAAAACTGAAATATCGAAATGGAAAAAATAAAAAAAATGAAAAATCGATTAATCAGGAATTCGAAAAATTTTAAAGTTAAAAAATCAAAAAATCAAAACGAAATATCGTAAAATTGATAAATCGAAAAGTCGTCAAGTCGAAAAATCGAAAAACCGAAAATTCAAAATATGCAAAAATCAAAAACCTGTAAAATCGAAACACTGAAAAATCGAGAAATGGGAAAATTCAAAAAATCTAAAGGTCGAAAATCGAAAAATGGGAAATTTGAAAAATCGATTAATCAGAAGATCGAAAAATTGAAATAATTGAAAAAGCAAAAAAATGAATCGAAATATTGAAAAATTCCAAAACTGAAGTATCCAAAAATCGAAAAGTTGAAAAATCGCCAAGTCGAAAAATCGAAAATTTTAAAAATTTTGAAATCAGAAACCTGAAAAATCAAAAAACTGAAGAATTGCAAAAATCAAGAAGTGGAAAAACCGAGAATCGAAAAATTGGTCAATCTAGAAATTGAAAATTTAGAAATGTCAAAAATCAAAAACCTAAAAAAACGAAAAGTTACTAAAACTGAAAAAATAGAGCAATCGAGAAAAAGAAAAATCGAAGAATAGAAAAATAAAAAAATGTAAGAGTCGAAAAATGAAGAAATCGAAAAATCTAAAATTTAAAAAATCGAAAAGTTGAAAAGTTAAAACACCAAAAAATCAAAACGAAATATCGGAAAATTGAAGAATCGAAATGTTGAAAAATTTGAAAACGGAAATATCGAAAAATTTAAAAATTTTAAACTGTTTAAAATGTCAGTTATTTATAAATCCGACGTAATTTAAGTGTTTGTTGATTGGGAAAAATGTTATTAAAAATAATTTCTATAAATTAACAGCAAGTGAATTTAGAGTTCAGATTTTTTTTACTACAATTTGCACTTTTATAAATCTTTTCCGATATATTATGGTTTGAAGGGACTCTTTGTTTAATTCCAAATTGACAGAAAACTAGAAATCGCGAAAAATATGCAAAATATATGTATATTTTTTTCATTTGATGACAATCATAGTTATCGAGGGGCAGAGCTTAATTACAAAATCCATATTTGTCTGCAAAAATCTACCATTTTAAACACGTTTTAATTTAAGTTTTTTGTGTGTAAAGATGACTACATCTACATATTAAGAAAAAAAGGGCAAAATATAAGCTCCGCCCACCCACCCTATCTCAATCGTGATAACTTTCAATTAAAGAAAAAGTTTGATTTATCAATTTTATCTCCACACTTAATACAAAATCCAATTTTTGTCTATAACACAGCACAAAATTTCTAAAGTTATTGAAATTTTAATGAAACGAGTTCAGAATAACACCTAAATGACATCTTAGTTGACCATGGTTTAGATTACGTTTTCGTGACGTCGTTCGTGACGTGTGTGACCTTCGTTCTGATTGGTCAGTTACGACTTGATCGTCATTTTGATTGGTTTAGCCAGGAAAAGGGATTTCTCGTGGAAATAAAAATCAGGATTTGCTGTTTATTTTTGATTTTCAAATAACGTATAAATATACACAAACTTTCTACAATTCATCAATTTACCAGTAAAACATCCTCTAAGAAAGTGAATACCGAGTAACTACTCTACAATGAAACTACTAATAAACCGAATAACTCCTGTCGCTCCTCTTCAGTGTTTGCACCCCCTCGTTCTCCTGCGACATCATCTGCAGCGTGCTCTCCAGCCGACTCATCGCCAGCCTCCGAATTTTCTTATTCAGTTCCGGGTACGGCTCGATCGCCTCCTGGAAGTCCCTCCTGCTCAGCCTGAACAACTCGCACTCCTTCACCGCCACCACCGTGGCCACCCTCGGCGCGTTGATCAGCAGCGTGATCTCCCCGAAGTGGCCGCCGTCGTCCAGGTGGCAGATCTCCTTGCCGCCTCCCGTGTACACCGCCACCGTGCCCACGTAGATGAAGTACATCGCGTTGCCGGTGTAGCCCGCCATCACGATGATGTCGCTAGGCAGGTAGATCTCCGAGCGGAGCTTCGTCACGATGCGGACCATCACCGACGGCGGCAGGTCCTTGAAGAAGTCCACCTTCTCGATCATGGTCTGGCACCGCTGGATGAGGATGTCGTGCTTGAGCACGGGGGACAGGTTGTTGAGGACGTCCTCTTCGCGGAAGATGTGCTTCTGGAACTTGAAGTCGATGTAGCGGAGGATTTTGTCGCGGAGGCGGTGGGGGAGTTCTTTGTATTTCATGTACTCGCCGATTTCTTCGAGGAGGTGGTTGTATTTGTTCCGGGAGCTGGAGCGCTTCTGGTAGAACTGCATGACTTTGGCTGGAGGAAAGAGGGTTTAGCGGGATTTCGATTGGTTGTAGCTGCTTACCTAAAATGATGATTTGGAGGACGCTACCCACGGTTATGCAACCGATCTCCACTATCATTACTAGGTTAGTGCTGTTGATTATGTCGGTGACGCCGACTACCATAAGGGCTCGAGTCACTTTAAATGCGGTCATCAGAAGGGGGAAACCCGCGATGGCAGTTTGAGCAAGAGAGACCGGGTGGAAGTAGGAGACGAGGGCGTACGCGATACTGGAGACCCATCCGAGCAAAACGAGGATCCAGATAGTAAAAGTAATCAGTCTGACGTGAGATATCGCGAATCCTGTTCTCTACAACAAACTTTATAGATCCAGCTAAACGGCCATGCGCCTGTGTAAATAAAGTTAGCTTTGGCCTTTTGGCATAAATTATCAGAAACAATTTATTTAAAATAGAACGTTAGGCAACCCAAATTACACATTTTTACTTGTCTCTTGAGCATGATTTAAATTCACAACCCGGTAAAAGCTAGGGATCCCAAGATTCTTCCAAATGATTTCCAAACAAAAAATTAGGGCCCAAAATTCTTTCAATTTTTTTCAAAAGCAACATAAGGGCCGGCTAAGGTTTTTAATTTCTTAAAAAATACACCACGGGCTCCCAAAATTATTTTAAATTCTTAAAAAAAAGACAAAAATGGCCCAAAATTCCTTTAAATTCGTAAAAAAGACACTTGCGATACCTAAGATTTTTTTTTATTTATTTTGACTTAGAGTATTAAAAAAAAAGATAATTGAGTCCGAGAATTATTTTGGACTCATAAAAAAAGACAATTGGACTCTTGTAATTAGAAAAAAAATTAAAATGTCGAAAAATCTTAAAACCGAAAAATAAAAAATTTTAGAAACCGGAAGATCGAGAAATCAAAACAACAACAGTAAAACATCAAAATAAATAAAATCGAATAATTGAAAAAGTAAAAAATCGAAAAGAAAAGGTGAAGGGTCGAAATATTGAAATATCCCAAAATTTAAAAAATTGAAAAGTCAGAAACCCAACAAATCGAGAAATTCAAGAACTGCAAAAACTGAAATATAGAGACATCGAGAAGTCGAAAAATCGAGAAATGGGAAAATAAAAAAATCTAAAAATTGAGAAATCGAAGATTTAGAAATACCAAAAATTCAGAAATAGGACATTCGAAGAATCGAAAGATCTAAAATTTAAATAACCGAAAAATAAAATATCCAAAAATTGAAAAATCGAGAAATCGAAATATCAAAAAACCAAAAAATTGCAAAATTGAAAAACCGAAAAATCGAGGAATTGAAGTATAGAAAATTTCAAAACAAAAATATCCAAAAATGAAAAGTCGGAAAATCGAAAAAGTCAAGTCGAAAAATCGAAAAACCGAAAATTGAAAACGTTGAAAAATCGAGAAATGGGAAAAGTGAAAAAATCAAAACGTTTAAAGGTCGAAAAATCGAGAAATGAAAAATCGGGAAATCGAAAAATAGAAAAATCCAAAAATCGGTTACTCAAGAAATGGAAAAATTGAAATATTAGAAACGTCAAAAATTGAAAAATAGAAAAATCGAGAAATCGAAAAATTTAAAATTTAAAAAAAAGAAAAAAGATCAAAAAATTGAAAAATTGAAAAATGAAAAATCGGGAAATCGAAATATCATCAAGTCAAATATATTTCCTTAGCTTACGGTCGGGAAGTAAAAATGAATAACCGAAAATTTAAAAGACTGAAAAACAGAGAATTGAAAAATCGAGAAATCGAAAATTTAAAAATTCGAAAAATTGAAAAATTAAAAAACAGAAAAATCTAAACGAAATATAAAAACATTGATAAATTGATTAAGCAAGAAATGGAAAATTTGAAAATTTAGAAACGTCAAAAATTGAAAAAGGAAATTCGAAAGTCATAAAACGCGAAATCGAAACATCACAAAATCAAAAAATATAAAATTTAAAAATTCGAATAATTGATTAATTAAAAGACCAAAAAATGTAAACGAATTATCGAAAAATTGATAAATTGAAAAATAAAAAATCGGGAAACCGAAAAGTCAATTCGAAAAATCGAAAACCAAAAAGTTGAAAATTCAAAAGCCTGAAAAATTGAAAAACTGAAGAGTGCAAAACTGAAAAATGAAGAAGTCGAAAACTCGAGAAATGAGAAAAATAAAAAAAATCAAAACGTCTAAAAGTCGAAAAATCGAGAAATGGGAAAAGTGAAACAATCAAAACGTCTAAAAGTCGAAAAATCGAGAAATGAAAAATTGTGTAATCGAAAAACGGAAAAATCCAAAAATCGGTTACTCAAGAAATGGAAAAATTGAAATATTAGAAACGTCAAAAATTAAAAAATGGAAAAATCGAGAAATCGAAAAATTTAAAATTTAAGAAACCGAAATACCAAAAAAATTGAAAAATTGAAAAATGAAAAATCGGGAAATCGAGATATCAAGTTAAATATACTTCCTTAACTTACGGTCGGGAAGTAAAAATGAATAACCCAAAAATTTAAAAGACTGAAAAACAGAAAAATCGACGAATTGAAAAATCAAAAAAATCTAAAATTTAAAAATTAAATCGATTAAGCAAGAAATGGAAAATTTGACAATTTAGAAACATCAAAAATTGAAAAAGAAAAATCGAGAAATGGAAAAATTCCAAAAATGAAATATCGAAAAATTGACAAAATGAAAAATCGGGAAACGAAATGCTTTAAGTCATAAAACGCGAAATCGAAACATCACAAAATCAAAAAATCTAAAATTTAAAATAATGATTGAAAAATTAAAAAGCCAAAACATCTAAACGAATTATCGAAAAATTGATAAATCGAAAAATAAAAAATCGGGAAACGGAAAAGTCAATTCGAAAAATCGAAAACTAAAAAGTTGAAAATTCAAAAGACTGAAATATTGTAAAACTGAAGAGTGCAAAACTGAAAAATCGAGAAGTCGAAAAATCGAGAAATCAGAAAGTGGAAAAATCCAAAAATCGAATAATCAAGAAATGGAAAAATTGATAAATTGAAAAATCGAAAAATTGAATAAGCGGGAAATTGAAACGAAATATCGAAAAATTAAAGAATTGAAAAATGAAAAACCGGGAAATCAAAATGTCAAGTAAAAAATTGGAATAACCTAAAATTTAATAGACTGAAAAATTGAAAAATTGAGAAATCGAAAAACTAAACTTCAAGAACCCTAAAACGAAATATTAGAAAATTGAAAAATCAAAAAATTTAAAAATTCGAAAAATTGAAAAGTCAATTCGAAAAATCGAAAACCAAAAAGTTGAAAATTCAAAAGCCTGAAAATTTGAAAAACTGAAGAGTGCAAAACTGAGAAATCGAGAAGTCGAAAACTCGGGAAATGGGAAAAATAAAAAAATCAAAACGTCTAAAACTCGAAAAATCGAGAAATCAAAAAGTGGAAAAATCCAAAAATCGAATAATCAAGAAATGGAAAAATTGATAAATTAGAAGCGTCAAAAATTGAAAAATCGAAAAATTGAAAAAACTGGAAATTGAAACGAAATTAAAGAATTGAAAAATGAAAAATCGGGAAATCAAAATGTCAAGTAACAAAATGGAATCACCAAAAATTTAATAGACTGAAAAATAGAAAAATCGACGAATTGAAAAATTGAGAAATCGAAAAACTAAACTTAAAAAACCCTAAAACGAAATATTAGAAAATTGAAAAATCAAAAAATTTAAAAATTCGAAAAATTGAAAAGTTAAAAAACCGAAAAATCTAAAAAATTGATAAATCGAAACATGAAAAATGGGGAGATCGAAAAGTCACGTCGAAAAATATCGAAAAACCGAAAACTTAAAAAGCTGAAAAATCAAAGACCTGAAATATTGAAAAACTGAAAAATCGGGAAGTCGAAAAAACGTTTAAAAATCGATTAATCAAGAAATGGAAAAACTAAAAATTTAGAAACGTCAAAAATTGAAAAATAGAAAAATCGGACAATCGAAGAATCACAAAATAAAATATCAAAAAATTGAAAAATCGAGTTATTGAAACAAAATATCGAAAAATTGAAGAACCAAAATATTGAAAAATTCCAAAAATGATATATCGAAAAATGAAAAATCGAGAAATCGAATTATTGTGAAGTCAAAAAATTGAAAAATAGAAAAATCGACGAATTGAAAAATTGGAAAAGCGAAAAATATAAAAAACGAGAAATCGGAACGTCACAAAATCAAAAAATCTAAACGAAGGATTGAACACTCGAAATATTGAAGAAAAATTCCAAAACAAAAATATTGAAAAATTGATAAATCGACAAATGAAAAATAGAGAATTCGAAAAGTCAAGTCGAAAAACGGAAAATTTTAAAAATAAAAAATCAAAAAACTGAAACATGAAATATTAAAAAATTGAAAAATCGAAAACATGAAAATTCGAGAAATGGAAAAATCTAAATTGAAAAAACCGAAAAATGAAAGCGAGAAATCTAAAATTAAAAAGCCGAAAAATCTAAACTAAATATCGAAAAACTGAAGAATCGTAATATTGAAATTTTCCAAAACTGAAATAGTGAAAAGTCGTGAAGTCGAAAAATCGAAAAACCCAAAAATTAAAAAATCTAAAATTGAAAAATTAAAGAGAAAAACTGAAAAATCGAGAAATCGACAAGTCGAAAAACTGAAAAATGTAAAAATTCAAAAATTCAATACAATTAATCAAGAAATCAAAAAATTGAGAAATCAAGAAATTCAAAATTTAAAAAACCGAAAAATAAATTACCAAAATATTTAAAAATCGAGAAATCGAAACATCAAAAAATCGAAAAATTCCAAAATCGAAAAATTAAAGAATTCCAAAACTAAAAAGCCTCAAGTCGAAAAATCGAAAAACCGAAAATTAAAAGAATTGAAAAATCAAAAACCTGAAAATTTTTTTTTCAATGTTGTCCTGCAAAATGTAGCTAGACAATTTGTTTATTTTTTCCCCGAAACTTTGATACTCTAGGAGTCATGAAACGTCGAGAAAGCTTCGACATTTTCGCATTCTGTTAACCATAAGTAACACAAAAAATTTGTGTTTAGCGTAAGAGCCAATATTGTTAGAAAACCTAAGCGTTCGCTACTCGTTTCACTTTCTAATTCGTCCAGCAAAGCGGCAAATGCACATCCATGTGCCGCTTTGTCGCCAAAAACGCCCAAAGCCAACTTGCTCTCGCTTTACTATACCTCGCCCAGCTTTTGCAGATAACTCAGTAACGTGGGCAAACGCACCAGCTTAATCAACAAAACATAGCACGAAAACTGGTACACTTCCGCGAAAAAAAAGTCAAAGTACAGACACAGCGGCTGCGACGTAACGAAATCCACCACGAAGAACGTGAAAATGTAGTGTTTGGCCACCTTCTGCGGCTTCAGCACCACCATCTGCTTGCGCGCGTCGAAGTACCCCGTGAAGAACCACATCACTACGTCCACGTTGCAAAGCACGCAGATGCCGCTGTAAACGTAGAAGAAGACTTCGGAGTGCTGCTCCACGGAGATGGTCAGCGGTATGATCGCGAACTGCACCCCCCAGGTGCACAGCATGAACATCTCCCAGCAGAAGCGGAAGCTGCTGAAGGGGTGGATCATGTTGGGGTGCATGCGCAGGTGGCGGACCTCTTCGTCGTAAATGCGGGCCGCCGACTTCAGGTACTTTTTGCTGTCGGGGCTGTAGGAACTCACCGTTACCCATTTCCAGAGCCTGCGACGCAGAAGGACGCAGAGGGAGTGGTATATGGTGTAGGTGACGATTTCCTCCTGCAGCGGGAGCTCGCAGGTGTGGTCGGGGATGGGGCGGACCAGGCTTTGGGTGGTGCGGGCGCTTTTCGTGGCTTTTCCAGCTTTTGCGGATTTTCGCAACATTTTCGAAAAGTTTAAATGTCACTGTGAGGTTTTCAAGGCATACTGGTTTCGAAAACGGAGTTGGTTATAGGTGGGGGTTGGGTACTAGGAGAAAGGGAGTTGGGGGTTGGTGCGTGGAGGGTACAGGCGGAATTTAGTCAAAATATCCAAATTTTACAAAAAAAATAATAAAAAAATAAATAAAATATGTTTGAAAAAAAAAATTGAAAAAATCTTGGGATTTCTTTTTTGTCTTCTTGGATTTTAAAGGGATTTAGGAGGCGTTTGTGTTTTTTTTTTGTGAAAATTTTAAAAAATCTTTGCGTCTTTCTTTAGTTTTCTTATAGAATTTAAAAAAATCTCGAAACCTGTATTGTTTTTATTTTGAAGTAAATTTAAAGAATCGTTACCTGCTAAGATAAGACTGATTTTAACAAATGACATACTCCGTAAGAAAAGAAAAGGTGGGCAGGCGGGGCTAGTACGTGTTAATACTGATTAGTCCCGCCCACCCACCCTGTCTTATAGTTCTTTGACTCCTTTGACTTTAAACTTCAACGAGACATAACGTCATCCTCGAAACACCAAATCCCCAAATCCCCTAAACACAGTATCCTCAAATCCTCAAAACACTTAAATACTCAAATCCTCGAAGCATCCAAGTCCTCAAATCATCAAAATAGCTATATCTTCAAATCCTCAAAATACCAATATCCCCAAAATCTCTAAATCCCCAAATCCTCATAACACAATATCCTCAAATCCTCAAAACACCAAAATCGCCAAATCCCCAAATTCTCAATACATCAAAATTTTGAAATCCTCAAAATAACAAAATCTGTAAATCCTCAAAACACCAATATCCCCAAAATCTCAAAATCCCCAAATCCTCAAATCATCAAATTACCTATATCCTCAAATCCCCAAAACACTAATAAGATCTTCAAATCCTCAAAACACAAATATCCCCAAATCGTCAAATCCTCAAATCCCCAGCACACCAAAATCTTCATATCCTGAAAACACCAAAATCTTCATATCCTCAAAACACCAAAATCCTCATATCCTCAAAACACCAAAATACCCATATCCTCAAAACATCAAAATTCCCAAATCCTCAAAACACCAAAATCCTCACATGCTCAAAACATCAAACTTTGAAATCCTCAAAACACCAAAATCTGCAAATTCTAAAAGCCCTAAATCCTCCTCAAATTCTCAAAATACCAAAATCCCCAAATCCTCCAAACACCAAAATCCTCATATCCTCAAAACATCAAAATCCCCAAATCCTCAAAATACCAAAATTCCCAAATCCTCAAAACACTAAAATCCTCATATTCTCAAAACACCAATATCCCCAAAATCTCTAAATCCTCAAAACACAATATCCTCAAATCCCCAAAACACCAAAATCGCCAAATCCCCAAATTCTCAATACACCAAAATCCTCACATGCTCAAAACATCAAACTTTGAAATCCTCAAAACACAAAAATCTGCAAATTCTAAAAGCACTAAATCCTCCTCAAATACTCAAAATACCAAAATCCTCAAATCCTCCAAACACCAAAATCCTCATATCCTCAAAACATCAAAATCCCCAAATCCTCAAAATATCAAAATTCCCAAATCCTCAAAACACTAAAATCCTCAAATTCTCAAAACACCAATATCCCCAAAATCTCAAAATCCCCAAATCCTCAAATCATCAAACTACCTATATCCTCAAATCCCCAAAACACTAATAAGATCTTCAAATCCTCAAAACACAAATATCCCCAAATCGTCAAATCCTCAAATCCCCAGCACACCAAAATCTTCATATCCTGAAAACACCAAAATCTTCATATCCTCAAAACACCAAAATACCCATATCCTCAAAACATCAAAATACCCAAATCCTCAAAGCACCAAAATCCTCACATGCTCAAAACATCAAACTTTGAAATCCTCAAAACACCAAAATCTGCAAATTCTAAAAGCCCTAAATCCTCCTCAAATACTCAAAATACCAAAATCCTCAAATCCTCCAAACACCAAAATCCTCGTATCCTTAAAACACCAAAATCCCCAAATCCTCAAAATACCAAAATTCCCAAATCCTCAAAACACTATAATCCTCATATTCTCAAAACACCAATATCTCCAAAATCTCTAAATCCCCTAATCTTCAAAACACAATATCCTCAAATCCTCAAAACACCAAAATCGCCAAAACCCCAAATTCCCAATACATCAAAATTTTGAAATCCTCAAAATACCAAAATCTGTAAATCCTCAAAACACCAATATCCCCAAAATCTCAAAATCCCCAAATCCTCAAATCATCAAATTACCTATATCCTCAAATCCCCAAAACACTAATAAGATCTTCAAATCCTCAAAACACAAATATCCCCAAATCGTCAAATCCTCAAATCCCCAGCACATCAAAATCTTCATATCCTGAAAACACCAAAACCTTCATATCCTCAAAACACCAAAATTCTCATATCCTCAAAACACCAAAACACCCATATCCTCAAAACATCAAAATCCCCAAATCCTCAAAACACCAAAATCCTCATATGCTCAAAACATCAAACTTTGAAATCCTCAAAACACCAAAATCTGCAAATTCTAAAAGCCCTAAATCCTCCTCAAATACTCAAAATACCAAAATCCTCAAATCCTCCAAACAACAAAATCCTCATATCCTCAAAACATCAAAATCCCCAAATCCTCAAAATGCCAAAATTCCCAAATCCTCAAAACACTAAAATCCTCATATTCTCAAAACACCAATATCCCCAAAATCTGTAAATCCCCAAATCCTCAAAACGCAATATCCTCAAATTCTCAAAACACCAAAATCGGCAAATCCCCAAATCCTCAAAATACCAAAATCTGTAAATCCTCAAAACACCAATATCCCCAAAATCTCAAAATCCCCAAATCCTCAAATCATCAAATTACCTATATCCTCAAATCCCCAAAACACTAATAAGATCTTCAAATCCTCAAAACACAAATATCCCCAAATCGTCAAATCCTCAAATCCCCAGCACATCAAAATCTTCATATCCTGAAAACATCCAACATTTTTTTATAACTGCAGAGATTCATTGGTTATACCACTAACACGAATTTTCTCTATTTCAATAAGTTCGGGAAAATTTCCTGACTTGTGGAAATCTGCACGTGTGGTACCAATCTTTAAATCTGGCAATAAGCAAGACATTGAAAACTATCGACCGATTAGTATAATTTCAGTTCTATCGAAAATCTTTGAAAACATTGTGTCCAGTTTCATAAGTGATTCTTTTAGAAACGTAATCAGTGTGTCACAACATGGTTTTTGTTCTGGTAGATCAACTGAATCTAATCTCTTTGTATACATAAATGATATTTTTAATGCAATTGAGGACGGTTCGGAAATTCACTGCATCTACACAGACTTCCACAAGGCGTTTGATTCTGTTGATCACACAATTTTGATACACAAACTTCTACTCTACGGCGTTCGTGATCCTTTACTTTCATGGATTCAATCTTATATCAGTCATCGTCTACATTTTGTACAATTAATGAAGTTCAAGTCATCTACCTACGAATCAACATCTGGAGTTCCTCAAGGCTCGGTTATAGGACCACTTTTATTTAATATCTTCATTAACGATATCTGCTTGAATTTCAACTCAAATTCCTTACTGTATGCAGATGACTTGAAGTTATATAAGAAGATTGATTCCATGTATGACATAAATACTTTGACAAATGATCTTATATGTCTTAACGATTGGTGTAAACTCAATCATATGTCTCTTAACATTAAAAAATGCAAAGCAATGTGCTTTAGTCGCAAAAGTCGTCCCTCAGTTCCATTGTACCTACTAGAAAATACGCCCCTAGACATAGTTAGCAATGCCAAGGATTTGGGTATCTATTTAGACACTAAATTATCTTTCGTCAGTCACTGTGAATATGTTGTTTCTAGAGGTAGAAAACTTTTGGGGTGTTTAAAGCGGTGGACGGTGAACTTCAGTAACATCAGAACCATTCTGATATTATACTATTCGTTAGTCCGATCGATATTGGAATTCAATTGTGTCAACTGGTCACCGTTTTATATCACTCACATAAGCCGAATTGAAGCTGTCCAAGTCAAACTTTTAAAATATGTCAAATATAAGTTGTGTGGTGATGGTATTGTGTTAGCAGATACAGACCTTGTTGCATCTTATCTGTCAGTACATACACTAGAAAATCGTCGTAAGTATCACAAACTATGTTTTCTTTTTAAATTATTAAATGGTTTAATTGAAGCCCCCATATTGCTAGCGTTGGTAGGTCTTAATGTGTCAATCCGTAAGGTTCGTACGCCTAGGCTGTTTTTTATACCAGTTCATAAAACGAATTATGCATTACATTCGCCTCTAAATAGCGTTTTGATGATTGCTAACGAATGCAACACTTTAGAGTTTTTTGGTATCTCCCTCAACGCCTTCAAGAAAGAATGTCGCAAATTGTTACTATTATGTTAATATGAATTGTTATGTTAATATTTTGTTATGTACTTTATGTAATGCCTTTACATCTTTCGGCGTAATAAAGCACTATTTATTTATTTATAAATCCCCAAAACACTAATAAGATCTTCAAATCCTCAAAACACAAATATCCCCAAATCGTCAAATCCTCAAATCCCCAGCACACCAAAATCTTCATATCCTGAAAACACAAAAATCCTCATATCCTCATATCCTCATATCCTCAAAACACCAAAATACCCATATCCCCAAATCCTCAAAACACCAAAATCCTCACATGCTCAAAACATCAAACTTTGAAATCCTCAAAACACCAAAATCTGCAAATTCTAAAAGCCCTAAATCCTCCTCAAATACTCAAAATACCAAAATCCTCAAATCCTCCAAACACCAAAATCCTCATATCCTCAAAACATCAAAATCCCCAAATCCTCAAAATACCAAAATTTCCAAATCCTCAAAACACTAAAATCCCCAAAACCTCAAAACACCAAAATTTTCAAATGCTCAAACCATCAAATTTTGAAATCCTCAAAACACGAAAATCTGTAAATTGTAAAAGCACCTAATCCTCAAATACTCAAAATACCAAAATATTCTTAAAACACCAAAATCACCATATCCTCAAAACATAAAAATCCTTTTAAAAAAACTGAAACAATCTGCGAGAATCTGAGACTGAGAAAACCTGAAATTTTCAATTTTTCGATTTTTCAAGTTTTCGATTCTTCAATTTTTCATTTCTTTAATAAATATTGGGTTTGCAATTTCTTGCTTCGGTTTTTTATTTAATTTTACTATTTTTCTATTTTTCAAAGTCCGGATTTTATGTTGTTTTGTTTTTTCAATGTTCCGATTTTATAATTTTTCATTTTTTTTTCAAATTTTCCTTTCTTCAGTTTTTCTACGTGCAATTTTTCAATTTTTAATTATTTTTGTTTCTTTACATTTTACAGTTTTTTGATATAGTAAAACGGTTTTCGGTTTGATTATCATATATGAATAGTTACTTACCATATTTGAACATTATAAACAATATTAATTATGTCTAAATTATATTTAATTATATCGTGAAAATGTATAGCTTTGACCGATCAATTTCAACCGTTTCGAAATTTTTTCCAAAATTTAAACATTGTCGAGTAAACGAATCATGCAACCCGATAAAGTAATACTGAAGTCGTACTTACCCCGTTTTCTGTCCTTTTCCAAAAAATATCCATTTTCTTTCGTGTTCACAGCACCAACACAACACATTTTCACTAATATTTATTAATAATAAATTAGAAATGCGCGAAAAGAGTCCTACTTTTAAGCCAAACCGGAGCTCCAATGTTACTGCCATCAGACCGAAATCTAAACTGAACACAAGGGGCCGAAAAATGCGACCTTTTATCAGGTAGCTCACGTGACAGTGACGTCATCGTACGTCATAGGTTCTTTATCAATAGTGCCAACGCAATGTTATAAAACACTAACATTGCTGATTTAGTGATGACGCTTATCAAAGAAACGACTCCTAGCAAAGGTAGAAGATGCCGAGGAAAAAAAGGAAAATGAAGGAAAAATAAGTTAATAACTTGTCTTCACATTTTTTTGTCCTTATAAATAATAAATTAAATGTAATATATTTTTGTTTCCTTAAGAATACAAATTTAACATAGTTAGTCGAGTTACAAAAGTCTCTTTTGCTCCACGTTGGCCACCAGCGAGCGATTTTCAAGATTTTTGTGAAACTTTGCTGGTTTTGGATTTGAATTATCTGTCCTCGATAGTTGATGCTCAGCAAGAAAAATATCCACTTTCCTTCGTGTTCACAGCACTTAACACATTTTCGCTAATATTTATTAACAAAAAATTAGAAATTCGCGAACACGGAGCTCCGATGTTGCTGCCACCAAATCGGAATCAAAACTGAACATAGAGGAGCGAAAAAGTGACCTTATATCAGGTAGCTTACGTGACAGTGACGTCATCATACGTCACGATGAGATTGCAAAAATTATGTGTTCTTAGGAAAATGATTTTCGGTTTAATTATCTTAAATTGATAGTTATCATATTTAAACATTATGAATTATCTTAATTATGTTTAAATTTTATTTGATTATATCGCGAAAATGTATAACTTGGACCCAACAACTTCAATCGTTTCGAAAATTTTCCCAAAATCTAAACATTGTCGAGTAAACAAATCACGGAATCCGATAAATTAAAACTGAAGTCGTAGTTACCTTATTTTCCGTCCTTTTCGAAAAAGTATACATTTTCGTTCGTGTTTACAGTACTAACGCAACACGTTTTCAGTAATATTTATAAAAAAATAAATTAGAAATTCGTGAAAAGAGCCCTACTTTTATGCCAAAACGGACATCCAATGTTGCTGCCACCAAACCGAAATCAAAACCAAACACAGAGGACCGAAAAATGTGACGTTTTATCAGGTAGCTCACGTTACAGTGACGTCATCATACGTCACGTTTCATATTTTGGCTGGGAAAATGCCCATTTTCGGGGATAATTTAACATTGTGTAAACAAATTGATTTGTTTTGACGTGATAACGTCTTATAAATCGATGGAGCCGGCTGCACGCTCGAAAAAGCATGACTCATATCGTTACTGTCACGTTCCATGTAAGGCTTGAAGTGCAAGCGAGAACGCGGAACGAGCGACAAAGAGGCACAATCGGCCTTCGCGTTCGGCAGCGTTCGCCATCCGTCTCTCTCCTACTTGAGTGAGCGATGCGTCTGCGTGGACAGCTGCTATATTATACATAGTACATTTACATGTTTTGGTCGAGTATCAAGTGCAGTGAAAAGTGAATGTAGTGTCAATTTTGACGTGACAACGATAATATTTTAAGAATTTTATTTAAATTGTTTCGAACGACGATTTATTTTGCAGAACTGCTTACAAACGCACCATGGAAAAAAAGCCTGACAAACCAGAGGATGTTACGAATAAGCCTTTACCTTCAATGAGTGAACCCATGGAGGTTCAAGATGCTGTAGCATTTACTTTAGCAACGCCATTCGCGCAGCCAATAATCGCTGCTTCAAAATCAAAAGCCCAAAACCATTCCATCAGTATTTTCTTAAGACGTTGTCACGTTCAACTATCGTCAGTAAACCGACTTAACAGACAACCGAGTTTTTTAATAATTTCGGGTTTGTAAGAAAACGAGGTCCGGTTTAATTATCATACCTGAATGATTATCATACTTAAACATTATAAATGATATTAATTACGTTTAAAATTTATTTATTTATATTGCGAAAATGTATAGCTTTGATCAACCAATTTCAAAAAAGTTAAACATTGTCGAGTAAACAAATCACGGAACCCAATAAATTAAAACTCAAATCGTACTTACCATGATTTTCAGCCTTTTCGGAAAAATATCCACTTCCCTTCGTGTTCACAGCACTTAACACAAAACATTTTCGCTAATATTTATTAACAATAAATTAGAAATTCGCGAACACGTGCTACTTTTAACCCAAAACGGAGCTCCAGTGTTGTTGCTACCAGACTGGAATCAAAACTAAACACAGAGGACGGAAAAAGGGACCTTTTAACAGGTAGCTCACGTGACAGTGACGTCATCGTACGTCACGATGAGATTGCAAAAATTATTTTTCATATTTTAGCTCGCAAATTGTACATTTTCGGGATTAATTTCACAATGTTTAAACAAACTAATTTGTTTTTGCTAACCTCGTGTTCTTCGGGAAATGGTTTTCGGTTTAATTATCATATGTTAATAGGTATCATATTTAAATTTAAACATTATGAATTATATTAATTATGTTTAAATTTTATTTAATTATATCGCGAAAATGTATAGCTTTGACCCACCAACTTCAATCGTTTCGAAATATTTTTAAAAATTTATACATTGTCGAGTAAAAGAATCACAGAACTTGATAAATTAAAACTGAAGTTTCGGTCCTTTCGGGAAAAATATCCACTTTCGTTTGTGTTCACAGTACTAACACAACACATTTTCACTAATATTTATTAATAATAAATTAGAAATTAGAACATTAGAAAATACTTTGCCTTTTTTTCTTGTTCGTAATCTTCTTTTCGCAACATAAAACTTAAAACGTGTTTAAAACAGGAAATATGGATTTTGTAATTACGCTCCGCCCATCAGTCTGGCAACGAATGGAAAATTAATCACGATTAAGAACTGAGATCGGGGTGAGGCTTATCTTTTTTTATTGTTTTTTTTTTTTTTTTAGTTAATACATATAGTTTTCTCTGAGCAACACCGTCACTGAAGGACATGTTTCACATGGCAAGCAATTCTTGTAGAAAAATACGGATTTTACAATTAAATTCCGCTCCTTCGGCTGTCGACGATTAAGAAAAATCATCACAATTGAGATAGGATGGGTGGGTGGGGCTTATGTTTTGCATCTTTTTTTCTTCAAAATATATATTGTTTTTTCCCCATAACAAGAAACTGAAAACATGTTTAAAATGGTAATTTTTATCCCATATAAATGAAAATTAAAAATCTTGAAAATGAGAAAGTTCAGTTTGAGTCTGTAAAATGTGTAATATGGGTTGCCTAACTTGATTCATCAGTAATATGAGTTGCCTAACTTGATGCTTCAATGAATTCATTTTAAAGTGGAAGACTAGTCGAGAACGAAATTTTTATGTATTTATAATTATATTAAGCTACTTGTCTTGTAATTGTCTATTTTCCAACGAGAAACATTTTCTCTTTCTGACGTTAAAATGAACCCGACCAAGCATCCAGCAATTTCCAGAATCGCTCCATTCAAGTTGGTCATGCCACTGACATTCCGAATTTCCCAAAATGTCAAAACGAATCCCCAAAATCGGACGAGCCCAACGGGCCAGCGAACAAACCGAAGTCCGCCCCATCCCCAACCACGAGTGCCAACTCCCCCTCCTCGAAGACCTGGCCTACTACCGCATCTACCAGGGCCTCTTCGTCCTATGCCGCCGCCGACTCTGGAAGTGGATGACCGTCTCCCCCTTCGACCCCCAGAGCAAGAAGTACATGAAATCCGCGGCCCGCATCCACGAAGAGGAGATCCGCCACCTCACCATGCATCCCAACGTCATCCACCCCTTCAGCCAGCTGCGATACGCGTGGGAGGTGTTCATGCTGTTCGTCTGGGGCACCCAGTTCTTTTGTATACCGGTAGTGATAGCATTACAAGACGAGAATGTAGGCAAGTTCGTAATGTTCTACCTGGTGCTGTGTTTCTTTTGCCACGTGGACATCATGATGTGGTTCTTCACCGGGTACTACGACCACAAGAAAAACATGGTGGTGATGAAGGGGTGGCAGGTGGCCGTTCACTACATGTTCAGGTTCTTCTTGATTGATCTGGTGACGGCGCAGCCGTGGAGTTTGTATATGGCCTTTGTGGGCGCATTGGGGTCATACACCTACTACGTCGATGCGATTCTTCTGCTGAAGTTGTTCCGGATGCCCAAGTTGTTGGAGTACCTGCAGCGGTTTAGCGAGGTACAGTAGTGGGAAAATGTGTTGTCCAAGCTAACGCTAGTTTGTCGCAGAGGACGGGGATAGACTTCTTGGTTTCTCATATAAAGCTGATCACTAGCGTGCTTTGGGTCGTTGTGGTCCTGATGTGGACCAGCAGTGTCACTTTCATGATCATTAAGGTGATAGCTCCTGAGGACATACTTACGACGACCATCGACAACATGCCGCTGTTGATGACCACGTTTAGAGTGGCGAGGGCGCTAATGGCGGTTGGCATTACCGATAAGCTGAATAGCGCTAATGGAGGGATGCTTATAGAAATCTTCGGCTTAACACTCGGTACTATTATACAGATCTTTGTTTTAGGTGCGTATATAATATTGCTTATAAATTTTTGGGTGACGTCATCGAGTTTTAAAAAAAGACATATATTATATATCGGGTTTTGGTGTGTATTTTGACTCCTTTTCGTAGTCGCATATTTTTTGGTTCCTTTTTGTCCTTTTTTTTTCCTCGTTCTTTTAGTCCCCTTTTTTTGTTCTCTTGCCTTTATCGTATTTTTTGCAGCTTTTATGTCGTTTTTTCGGTATTTTTTTGGCCCCTCTTTTATCACCTTTTTTGCAGCTTTTGTCACTTTTTTATCGCTTTTTTTGGTAGATTTTATGTCGTGCTTGTCTGTTTCGTCTTTTTAAATGTGTTCTTTATTATCGCTGTTTTGTTACGTTTTTTGGTCCCTTCTTTCACTTTTTCTACCCCTTTTTTGTCCTCTTTTATCGCCTTTTTTGCAGCTTTAATGTCGCTTTTTTGTCGTCTTTTTATTGTCTTCTTTTTTGAAGCGTATGTCTATCGCCTATTTTGTCCCGTTTTTTGGTTCCTTTTTCGTTTTTTTAATCGCTTTTTGGTTCCTTTTTTATTCTCTTCTCTTTATCGCTTTTTTGTCGCTTATTTTGGTCCTTTTTTTCCCTCCTTTTTCACTTTTTTTTTGTCGTTTTTGGTCCATTTTGTAGTTTTTATGTCGCTTTTTTGTGTCTTTTTTGTCTTCTCTTTTATTGCTTATTTTTGTTCAGGTTTTAATTGCGTTTTTTAAAGTCCCTTTTTTGTCCTACCTTTTATGTCACCTTTTTTGTTGCTTTTTTTTAAATGCCCTTTTCTGTAGCTTTTATTGCTTTTTTGTTGTCCCTTTTTTATTGTATTCTTCTTTATGTAGCGAATTCTTTATGGCTGTTTTATATCGTTTTTTGGTCCCTTTTTGTCGTCCCTTTTTCATTTTTTGTTATCTTTATTGTTCCCTTTTTGGTCTCCTTTTTTGCCCCTTTTTCTCTTCTTTTTCCACATTTTCTCACCTTTTTTTGTCTCTTTTTTTTTTTCTCTTTTTTGTCGCCTTTTTATTGTCTTCTCTTTTGAAGCGTATGTCTCTCCCTTATTCTGTCCCGTTTTTTGGTCCCTTTTTTTCGCGTTTTTTTAATCGCTTTTTTGGTTCCTTTTTTATTCTCTTCTTTTTATCGCCTTCTCTAGCTTTTATGTCGCTCTTTTTTTTACCGTATTTTTTATCGCTTTTTTGTCGCTTATTTTGGTCCTTTTTCACTTTTTTTTTGTCGTTATTTGGTCCTTTTTGTAGTTTTTATGTCGCTTTTTTGTGTCTTTTTTGTCTTCTCTTTTATTGCGTATTTTTGTTCGCGTTTTAATTGCGTTTTTTAAAGTCCCTTTTTTGTCCTACCTTTTTTTTGTTGCCTTTTTTTAAACGCCTTTTTCTGTAGCTTTAATTGCTTTTTTTGTCCCTTTTTTTATTATCTTCTTCTTTATGTAGCGAATTCTTTATGGCTGTTTTATATCGTTTTTTGTTCCCGTTTTGTCGTCTCTTTTTCATTTTTTGTTATCTTTGTTGTTCCCTTTTTGTTCTCTTTTTTTAATGCCTATTTTTAGTCGCTCTTGTCTTTTTTATTGTCTGTCTTCTTTTTGTAGCGAATTCTTTATCGCTTTTTGGTCTAGTTTTTTGCCCCTTTTTCTCTTTCTTTTTTCACATTTTCTTACCTTTTTTTGTCTCCTTTTTGTTCTCTTTTTTGTCGCCTTTTTTATAGCTTTAATGTACCCCTTTTTCTAGTCTTTTTTTCATTGCCTTCTTTATCTTATTTTTTTTTATCGCTCTTTTTGGTCCCTTTTTTGTCCTCCTTTTTTCACTTTTGTTTTTTGTCACGTCTTTTTTATCGTCCTTTTTTTAGCTTTTGTATCACCTTTTTTGGTCCCTCTTATGTTCTCTTTTTTATCGCATTTTTTTGTAACTTTTATCTCGCTTTCTTTGTTCCCTTCTTTTTATCGCATTCATATCACTTTTTAGTTCCTTTCTTTGTTTTTATAGCTTATGTAGCGCTCTCTTGTCTCTGCTTTACTCCTTTCTTTTTCACTTTTTTTACCTCTTTTTGTCTCCTTTTTGTTCTCTATTTTGTCGCCATTTTTTTAGCTTCTATGTGTTCCTTTATTTTCTAGTATTTTTTATTGCCTTCTTTTTCTTCTTTTTTTATCGCTTTCTTGGCGATATTTTGCTTTTTTTCACTTTTATGTTTTTTGTCACGTCTTTTTTTTATCTTTTTTGTTCCCCTTTTTTTCGTAATTTTTAGCTTTTGTGTCGCCTTTTTTGGTTCTTCTTTCGTTCTCTTTTTTATAGCATTTTTTTGTAACTTTTATCTCGCTTTTTGGGACCTTTTTTGTTCCCTTTTTTTTTTGTTCTCCTTTTTTGGTCCCTTTTTGTTCCCTTCCTTTTGTCCCATTCATGTCAGCTTTGTAGTTCCTTTTTTTTGTTTTTGCACTTTTTATAGCGCTTTCTTGTCGTCTTTTTTATTGTTTTTTTGTAGCGATTTTTTTATATCGCTTTTTTTGGTTGTTTTATTTCATTTTTTTGTCAGCTTTTTTTTGTCCCTTTCTTTTGGTACCTTTTTGTCTTCTCTTGTTTTTATAATTTTTTTTGTAGGTTTTATGTCGTTGCTTTTTTCAGCTTTCCTTATTGTCTCCTTTTTCTTATTATATATTTGTATCACGTACTTTGGTTCCTTTTTTGTCAACTTCTTTTGACGTTTTGTTTCAATTTTTTGTTCTCTTTTTTATCGTTTTTTTTTTGTACCTCTTGTCTCATTTGTGTCCCTTTTTTTGTCGCCTCTTTTATTGTCTTCTTCTTTTGTAGAAACTTTATCGCTTTTTTGTCTCGTATTTTGGCCAATTTTGTCCTAATTTTTTCATTTTTTGACTCCTTGTTCTCTTCTTTTATCGACTTTTTTGTAGCTTTTATATCTCCTTTTTTATGGTATTTTTTTAATGTCTTCCTTTTCTTGTCTTTCTTTTCTTATACCGTTTTTTTTTCCTTTTTTTCACTTTTATGTTAGCTTTTTTTTTGTCACATATTTTTTGGTACTTTTTTTTGTAGATCTTTTCACCTTTTTTGATCTCCTTTTTGTTCTACTTTTTGTAGCTCTTTTTTTGTTTTTTTATCGTCTTTTTTGTAGTTCTTGTCATCTTTTTTAGTACCTTCTTTGAAGTGTTTCTTTTACGCTTTTTTTGGTCCTTTTCTTTCACTTTTATCTAAGCTTTCTTTTTTCCCTTTCTTTTGCTTCCTTTTTGTTTTGTTTTTATTGGACAATAAGTTTTTTCTCGACTTTTTTATTATATACCGTATTTTTTTGTCGCGTTTTTTGGTCTCTTTTTTGTCCTTTTTCAATTTTTTGACGCCTTTTCGTAGTCGCAAATTCTTTGGTCCCTTTTTGTCCTTCTTTTTCTCGTTCTTTTAGTCCGCTTTTTTGTTCTCTTGCCTTTATCGTATTTTTTGCAGCTGTTATGTCGTTTTGTTCGGTTCCTCTTTTATCACCTTTTTTGTAGCTTTTGTAACTTTTTTATCGCTTTTTTTGATAGATTTTATGTCGTGTTTGACTGTTTCGTCTTTTTAATGTGTTCTTTATTATCGCTGTATTGTTACGTTTTTTGGTCCCTTTTTTCACTTTTTCCTCCCCTTTTTTGTCCTCTTTTTATCGCCTTTTTTGCAGCTTTTATGTCGCTTTTTTATTGTCTTTTTTATTGTTACCGTTTTCGTAGCGTATTTGTTTATCAGTTTTTTTGTCGTCTTTTTATTGTCTTCTTTTTTGAAGTGTATATCTACCGCTTATTTTGTCCCGTTTTTTGGTCCCTTTTTCGTTTTTTTAATCGCTTTTTGGTTCCTTTTTTGTTCTCTTCTCTTTATCACTTTTTTGTCGCTTATTTTGGTCCTTTTTTCCCTCCTTTTTCACTTTTTTTTTGTCGTTTTTGGTCCATTTTGTAGTTTTTATGTCGCTTTTTTAACTCGTTTTTTGACATTTTTTTTTGTTCTCTTTTTTTTGTCGCCTTTTTTTGGTACCTTTTACGTCGCTTTTTTGTGTCTTTTTTGTCTTCTCTTTTATTGCGTATTTTTGTAATTGCGTTTTTTAAAGTCCCTTTTTTTGTCCTACCTTTTACGTCACCTTTTTTGTTGCTTTTTCTTTAAACGCCTTTTTCTGTAGCTTTTATTTTTTTTGTCCCATTTTTTTATTGTCTTCTTTTGTAGCGAATTCTGTATGGCTGTTTTATATCTTTTTTTGGTCCCTTTTTCATTTTTTGTTATCTTTATTGTTCCCTTTTTGTTCTCTTTTTTTAATGCATTTTTTAGTAGCTCTTGTCTCTTTATTGTCGTCTTTTTTATTGTGTGTCTTCTTTTTGTGGCGAATTCTTTAACGCTTTTTGGTCTTGTTTTTTTGCCCCTTTTTGTCTTCCTTTTTTCCCATTTTCTTACCTCTTTTTGTCTCCTTTTTGTTCTCTTTTTTTGTCGCCGTTTTTATAGCTTTAATGTCCCCCCTTTTTTCTAGTATTTTTTATTGCCTTCTTTTTCTTATTTTTTTATCGCTGTTTTTGGTCCCTTTTTTTGTTTTTTTCTTTTGTTTCCCTTTTTTATCGTCCTTTTATCAGCTTTTGTTACACCGTTTTTGGTCCCTCTTATGTTCTCTTTTTTATCGCATTTTTTGTAACTTTTATCTCGCTTTCTTTGGTACCTTTTTTGTTCCTATTTTTTGTCACCTTTTTTTGATCCCTTTTTTGTTCCCTTCTTTTATCGCATTCATATCACTTTTTTGGTTCCTTTTTTTGTTTTTATAGTTTTTGTAGCGCTCTCTTGTCTCTGTTTTACCGTCTTCTTTATTGTCTTATTTTTGTAGGGAATTCTTTATTGCTTTTTGGTCTCCTTTTTTTGCTCCTTTTTGTCCACTGTTTTTTCACTTTTTTTACCTCTTTTTGTCTCTTTTGTTCATATTTTGTCGCCATTTTTGTAGCTTTCATGTCCTCCTTTTTTCTAGAATTTTTTATTGCCTTTTTCTTATTTTTTTATCGCTTTCTTGGCGATATTTTGCTTCCTTTTTTGTCCTTCTTTTTTTCACTTTTATGTTTCTTGTCACGTCATTTTTTAGCTTTTGTGTCACCTTTTTTGGTTCTTCTTTCGTTCTATTTTTTATCGCATTTTTTTGTAACTTTTATCTCGTTTTTTTTGGGACCTTTTTTGTTTTCTTTTTTTGGTCCCATTTTGTTCCCGTCTTTTTATCACATTCGTGTCATCTTTGTAGTTCTTTTTTTTTTTTGTTTTTACACTTTTTATAGCGCTTTCTTGGCCTCTTTTTTTATTGTTCTTTTTGGTAGCGAATTTTTTATCGCTTTTTTGGTCCTTTTATTTCATTTCTTGTCAGCTTTTTTTTGTCCCTTTCTTTTGGTCCCTTTTCGTCTTCTCTTGTCTTTATTTTTTTTTTGTAGGTTTTATGTCGTTGCTTTTTTCAGCTTTTCTAATTGTCTTTTTTTCTTATATTACATTTTTATCACGCATTTTGGTTCATTTTTGTCAACTTCTTTCGACGTTTTGTTTTAATTTTTTGTTCTCTTTTTTTATCGTTTTTTTAGCCCTTGTCTCATTTGTGTCCCTTTTTTTGTCGTCTCTTTTACTGTCTTCTTCTTTTGAAATTCTTTATCGCTTTTTTGTCCTCATTTTTTCATTTTTTGACTCCTTGTTCTCTTCTTTTTTCGCCTTTTTTGTAGCTTTTATATCTCCTTTTTTTATGGTATTTTTTTTATTGTTTTTTTTCTTAACTTTTATGTTTTTTTTGGTACTTTTTTTTGTAGATCTTGTGTTACCTTTTTTGGTCTCCATTTTGTTCTACTTTTTGTAGCTTTTTTTGTTTTTTTTTCATCGCCTTTTTTGTAGTTTTTGTCATTTTTTTCCTTTTGTTCGCCGTTTTTTATCGCCTTTTTTGCTTTTATATCACTTTTTTTTGTCATCTTTTTTATTGTCTTTTTTGTAGTGTTTTTTTACGCTTTTTTTGGTTCTTTTTTCACTTTTATCTCAGCTTTCTTTTGCTTCCTTTTTGTCTTGTTTTTATTGATTGTTTTATAGGTTTTATGGCGTTGTTTTCTTCGTCTTTTCTTATTTTCCCCTTTTTGTATATCGATTTTTTTGAGCTTTTGTTATTTTTTTTTCTCATTTTTGTACTCATTTTTATTGTACTGTATTTTTTTTACCTTTTTTTGTCCCCTTTTTTTTTCACTTTTATGTTAGCTTGTTTTGTCACGTCTTTTTTGGTACTTTTTTAATTCTTTTTTATCGCCCTTTTTTGTTCTCTTTTTTATCGCTTTTTTCTATAGGTTTTTGTGGTTCCTTTTTTGTCACCCTTTTTTTGGTCCCTTCTTTATATCTTTTTCATGCCATTTTTTGGTTCCTTTTTTGTCATTTTTTTTTCACCTTTTTTGTCGCTTTTTCATCATTTTTTAGTCATCTTTTTTATTGCCTTCTTTTTTTGTAGCGAATTGTTTTATCGATTTTTTTGGACCCTTTTTTCACCTTTTTGTCAGTTTTTTCAGTACCTTTCTTTTGATTCATTTTTTTTATTGTCTCGTTTTTATGGAATTTTTTGTAGTTTTGCAATCGGTTTTTTTTCCGTCTTTTGTTATTGTCTCCTTTTCTTAAACCGTGTTTTTTCGCCCGTGTTTTGGGTTTTTTCTCTTCCTTTTTTTCCATTTTTTGTCCCCCTTTTTTTGGTAACTTTTGTGTTACTTTTTTGTTCCATTCTTGTTCTCTTTTTTGTCATCTTGTTTTGTAGCGTATTTTTCATTTTTTTTGTTGTTTATTTGGTCCTTTTTTATCGCCCTTTTTTGTAATTTTTATATCACTTTTTTGGTCCCTTTTTATTTCCTTTTTTGTAACCTTTGTGTCGTTTTTTGACAGTTTTTTCCCTTTTTTTTGTGTTCTTTTTTTTGCAGCATATTTTTATCGCTGTTTTTTTGGCACCTTTTTGTCCTCAATTTTTCAGTTTTTGTTACTTTTTCTGGTCCTTTTTTGTTCTTTTTTTATTGTCGTTTTTTAGCTTTTTTGTAATCTTTTTTGTCCTTTTGACGCCTTTTTCGTTTTTTATAGTTTTTATGTCGCTTTTGTTTTCGTCTTTTTTTTAATGCGTTCTTTTTCTTGTACCGTTTTTTTATTGCGTTTATGCCGCTTTTTTATTGTCTTTTTTATTTTATTGTTACCGTTTTCGTAGTGTATTTGTTTATCACTTTTTTTTGTCGCGCTTTTTTTACTTTTTGCCGGCTATTTTTTGTCTACTTTTTTGTTAGGTACCATTTTGTTTTCTCTCTTTTTATCGCCTTATTTTATAGCTTCTGTGTCCCCTTTTTTTCGTATTGTTTTTCCTGTCTTGTTTTTGTAGTGTTTCTTCGTCGCGTTTTGTCTTCCTTCTTCCACTTTTGCCAGCTTTTTTTGGTTCCATTGCGATTATTTTTTGTCACTTTTTGTCGTCCTTTTTGTCACATTTTTTGTAGTTTTTCCTGCCGTATTTAAGAGAAGTATTGTCTAAATCGTATTAGAGTGGAAATACTATGAGAAGAACATGTGAATCATACAGTCCGGCACTTCACCTTTGACCAATAACGTATTATCAAAAAAAAAACTAGCACAAATTGGAAACTATATAATCTTGAAAAGTAAAGATTTAAAACGTGTAAGTTGTATACATTCATTGATGTGTTCTTCTCAAAGTATTTCCACTCTACTCTATTGAACGATCGTGGGTACTACACCTCATTAACCCATCCTCCTTTACCCTATTCAGCGAAAGTGATGCAGTACTACCAGAAGCGCTCCAGCTCCCGGAACAAATACCAGCACCTCCTGGAAGAAATCGACGAGTGCATGAAATACAAAGAGCTCCCCATCCGCCTGCGCAACAAAATCGCCCACTACATCGAGTTCAAGTTCCAGAAGCACATCTTCCGCGAAGAGGACGTCCTCAACAACCTCTCCATGGCCCTTAAGCACGAAATCCTCTACGAGCGCTGCCAGACCATGATCGAGAAGGTCGAGTTCTTCAAGGACTTGCCCCCCTACGTCATCACCCGCATCGTGTCGAAGCTCCGCTCGGAGATCTTCCTGCCGAACGACGTGGTGGTGGTGGCGGGCTACACGGGGCACGCGATGTACTTCGTCTCGATGGGGACGGTGGCGATGTACACGGGGGGCGGCAAGGAGATCTGCCACCTGGACGATGGCAGCCACTTCGGGGAAATCTCGTTGGTGATCAACGAGCCGAGGGTGGTGACGGTGGTGGCGGTGAGGGAGTGCGAGTTGTTGAGGTTGAGCAGGAGGGATTTCCAGGACGCGATCGAGCCGTTCCCGGATTTGTACAGGCAGATTCGGTTGCAGGGAATGAGTCAGTTGGAGAATGCGCTGCAGGTGGGGGACGAGAAAACTGATCTCCTGGTTACCTCGACGTCTTCTACCAAAATTAAGGGTGCCAAGGGTACCAAAAGCACTACTCAATTTGCGATTTGATGGATGTTTGCTTGGTTATAGTGTTGTGTTGTTTTTAATTAAAGACTGATTTCGTACATTGGTGTGTTTATTTGGTTGCATAAAAACGGGGCAACTTGTTAATAAAAAAAAAGTAAGGTTAGTGCTTTTATTTTTTATTCAATACGGTTGACAGTGGCGAGGTTTTTTGACATTTACAACGTTTAAACACTGTGTTTCAGGCCACTGAAGTTTTCCCCGAAAAGTCGGAAAAAAACTTTTAATAAAGGAAAAAACCGACAAATTTTGCTTGAAGTTGGTAGAACTGTCACTCTACTGACGTATTGACAGTGACGTTTCATTTAATCAAAATTCGTCAGCGCGTAAAAATGACAATGGCCGAAAATTCCTCAATATTGGTTTAATTCATAAATTAGGTTACAGAGATTTGGTAAAAATTTTGAAAAAAAATTGTTTTCTAAGATTTTTTTGTCATAAAATAGCGAAAACTTGACAAAATCCAGAAATGGAAAAATTTCTAAAATTGTGAAATGTTTAAAAATTGAGAACTCGAAAAATCTAAAATTCAAAAATCAAATACATAATTGAAAAATCGAGAAATTAGGAAATCCCAAAACTGAAATGTCGAAAAATTGGGGCAAAATATTGAAAAGCTTTTAAAAATCGAAGACTCAAAAAACCGAGAACTCGAAAAAAAGGGAAAAATTAAAAACACGAGAAATGAAAAAATCTGAAGTTTGAAAAATCGAAAATTTGAAAAGTTCCAAAACTCAAATACCAAACAATGGAAAAATCGAAGAAAAATTAAATAGCGAGAAACTGAAAAATTCCAATGAAACATCGAAAAACTGACGAATCGAAAAATTATTAAATCGAAAAGTCGAAAAATCGAAAATCGAAAACCCGAAAAACCAAAAAATTGTAAAATCCGAAAAATTGAAGAACTGAAAACCAGAAAAATGGAAAAAAAGAGGAATCGAGAAACAAGAAAATCAAAAAATCGAAAAACCTAAAATTCGAAAACTTAGAAACGCCAAAAATTGAAAAATCGAAAACTGAAACCCTAAAACTGAAGTCCGAAAAATTGGGAAAGAATAAAAAAAATCGAAAATGTGAAAAATCGAAAAAGCAAAGAATGGAGAAATTGAAAAAACGAAAAGTAAAACTCCTGAAAATTCGAATTTCGAAAAGTCCAAAATTCCAAAATTCTAAATATCGAAATGTAAAATTGAAAATTCAAATATTGAAAAATCCAAAATTGGAAAAAACGAAAATTCCAGAACTCAAAACGAAAAAATGAAAAATCGATAGTTATCGAGTTCGAGAAATAAAAAAAACAAAAATTACAGAAGATTGAAAAATCGAAAAACTAAAAAAATATCAGAAGATCGAAAATTTGAGAATTGCCAAAATCGTTGATGAGTAAAAAAATTAAAAAGTCTAAAAGCTGAAGAATGGAAAAATTGAAAACTCGAAAAGTGGAAAAATCAAAAATCGAAAAATCGAAAATTGGAAAAATCAAAAAAAGAAAAATCGAAAAATTAAAATATCGAGAATAGAAAAGTGAAAAAATAGAGCATTCGAGAATTCCCAAAATTCAAAATTCCGAAAAACCGAGAAATTAAAAAATCAAAAACTTAGAAACGCCAAGAATTGAAAAAATCGAAAAACTGTAAAACCATAAAACTGAAGCCGAAAATGCGAAAAATCGAAAAAAACAGAAGTACATAATTGAAAAATCAAAAATCGAAAAACTAGAGAATGGAAAAATTGAAAAATCCAAAACTAATAATACTCAAAATTCGAATTCCAAAACTCCAAAATTCGAAAACTTGAAAATTCGCAAAATCAAAAATTGAAATATCGAAATGTAAAATTGAAAATTCAGATACTGAAAAATCCAAAATTTGAAAATTCGAAAATTCCAGAACTCAAATCGACAATTGGAAAAATTGAAAAAATGGAAATTTCGAAAATTGGAAATGTCGGAATATCGACAATTCGACAAATATTAAAAATGGAAAAAATTGAAAATCTAGTGAAGATCGAAAAATCGAAAACTCGAGAAATCAAAAAAGAAACAAAAATTGGGAAGACTCAAAAATCGAAAAACTGAAAAGTCGGAAAAATAAAATTGGAAAATTCGAGAAATCGAAGAATAAAAATTGAAGTCTGGAAAAATTGAAAAATCGAAAATTGAAAAAATCAAAAATCGAAGAATAGAAAAATCGAGAAATCGAGAAGCAATAAAATTAAAATAAAAAAAAATTAAAAATCGAAAAACTAAAGCTTGGAAAAATTGAAAAATGGAAAATTCCAAACTTCTAAATATCGAAATGTAAAATTGAAAATTCAAATATTGAAAAATCCAAAATTGGAAAAATCGAAAATTCCAGAACTCAAAACGAAAAAATGAAAAATCGAGTTTGAGAAATAAAAAAAAAAATTGCAGGAGATTGAAAAATCGAAAAACTGACAAAAAAAATCAGAAAATCGAAAATTTGAGAATTGCCAAAATCGTTGACGAGTAAAAAAATTAAAAATTCTAAACGCTGAAGAATGGAAAAATCAAAAAAAGAAAAATTGAAAAATCGAGAATAGAAAAGTGAAAAAATAGGGCATTCGAGAATTACCAAAATTCAAAATTCCGAAAAATCGGAAAGTCGAAAAATCGAAAAATTAAAAAATCAAAAACTTAGAAACTCCAAGAATTGAAAAATTCGAAAAACTGTAAAACCATAAAACTGAAACCGAAAAAAACAGAAGTACATAATTGAAAAATCCCAAAACTCAATTATCAAAAAATTGAAAAATCAAGAAATTGATTGAAAATTCGAATTTCAAAACTCCAAAATGCGAAAATTCGAAAATTCGCAAAATCAGAAATTCAAATATCGAACTGTAAAATTGAAAATTCAGATACTGCAAAATCGAAAATTGGAAAATTCGAAAATTCCAGAACTCAAATCGAAAATTCGAAAAATTGGAAATTTCGGAATGTCGTCAATTCGACAAATATTGGAAATGGAAAAAATTGAAAATCTAGTTAAGATCGAAAAATCGAAAACTCGAGAAATCAAAAAAGAAACAAAAATTGGGAAGACTCAAATCGAAAAACTGAAAAATCGGAAAAATAAAATTGGAAAATTCGAGAAATCGAAAAATAAAATTTGAAGTCTGCAAAAATTGAAAAATCTAAAATTGAAAAAAATCAAAAATCGAAGAATCGAGAAGCAAAAAAATTAAAATTAAAAAAAGTTAAAAATCGAAAAACCGAAAAATCGGAAAAGCAAAATTCGAAAATTCGACGAAATCGGAAAATCGAGATATCAAAAAATCGAAAATTTAGAAACGCCAAAAATTGAAAATCGAAAAAATGAAAAATCCCAAAACTCAAAAATAGAAAAATTGAAAAATCCTGCAACTGAAACATCAAAAAATTTAGAAATCGAAAAATTGAAAATTTGAAAAGTCGAACGATTTAAAAATCAAAAAACTGACGAAACATTGGAAAACGAAAGATTGAAAAATCGAAAAACTAAAGCTTGGAAAAATTGAAAAATGGAAAACTCCAAAAATTGAATAAATAAAAATTTCGAGAATTGTAAATTCCGAAATATCGACAATTCGAAAAATCAAAAATGGAAAATGTAAAAATTGAAAAGTTGAGAAATAAAAAAAAAATTGAAAAGATTGAAAACTCGATAAACTGAAAAATCGGAAAATCAAAATTCGGAAAATCCAAAATTCCAGGATTCCCAAAATCGAAAAAAGTCTAAAAACTAAAGAATAAAAAAAAATTGAAAAATTGAACTTTGGAAAAAGCGAAAAATTAAAACGCATTGAAAGAAACGAGAAATCGAAATGTAAAAAAAATATGAAGATTGAAAAATCAAAAAACTCAAAAACCGGAAAAACAGAATTCGAAAATTCATAAATTCGAGAATTCCCAAAATCGAAAAAGCGGAGAATAATAAAATGAAAAGTCTAATAACTAAAGAATCGAAAATGGAAGAATAAAAAACTCGAGAAATCGAACAATTGAAAAATCCCAAAACTCAAATATCGAAAAATTGGTGAATCAAAAATTTGAAAAATCTACAATAAATGGGAAAATTAAAAACTCGAAAAATCCAAAAGTAGAAAAATCGAAAAAACGAACAATTGATTAAACGAGAAATCAAAAAACGAAAATTTAAGAAACTATCCAAAAATTGAAAATTTTAAAAGTCGAATAATTTAAACATCAAAAAATTGACGAATCGAAACATTGAAAAATTGAAAAACTAAAGAATGGAAAAACTGAAAAATCGAAAAGTAAAAAAAATCAAAAATCGAATTTCGAAAAATCCAAAATTCGAAAATTCGCAAAATCGAAAATTTGAACTATCGAAATGTAAAATTGAAAATTCAAATATTGAAAAATGCAAAATTGGAGAAACGAAAATTACCGAACTCAAAACTAAAAAATAAAAATCGAAAATTCGAGAAATTAAAAAAAATTGAAATTTCGAAAATTGGAAATTCCAAAATATCGACAACATTGAAAATCGAAAAATTTAAAATGTTTCCGAAAAGTGGAAGAATAAAAGGAAATGAAATCTAGAAATAAAAAATCGAAAATTTGAAAAATAAAAAAACAAATTAAAAAATTTTAAAAATCGAAAAACTGAAAAAACGGAAAATTAAAATTCGAAAGATCGAAAATTCGAGAATTACCAAAATTGAAAATTCCGACAAATTGAAAATTTAGAAACGCCAAAAATTGAAAAGTCGAACAATTTAAAAACCAAAAGATCGAAGAGTCGAAATATTAAAAAATCAAAAATTTGAAAAATTGTAAAACTGAAAATTTTGAGAAATCCAGAAGTCGAGAAACCGAAACATGGAAAATTCGAGAAATCAAATAATGGGAAAATCAAAAATTAGTAAAATCTAAAAGTTGAAAAATCGAAAAGTCGTCAAAAATTGATAAATAGAAAAATCAAAAAATTGAAGAATTGAAAAATCGAGAAATCGAGAAGCAAAAAAAATAAAATTAAAAAAAAATTAAAAATCGAAAAAATGAAAAATCCCAAAACTCAAACGTAGAAAAATTGAAAAATCCTGCAACTGAAACATCAAAAAATTTAGAAATCGAAAATTGGGAAAAATAACAAATCGAAAATTTAGAAATGCCAAAAATTGAAAAATTGAAAAGTCGAACGATTTAAAAATCAAAAAACTGACGAATCGAAACATTGGAAAACGAAAAATTGAAAAATCGAAAAACTAAAGCTTGGAAAAATTGAAAAATGGAAAACTCCAAAAATTGAAAAAATAAAAATATCGAAAATTGTAAATTCCGAAATATCGACAATTCGAAAAATCAAAAATTGAAAATGTAAAAATTGAAAAGTCGAGAAATAAAAAAACAAAAATTAAAAAGATTGAAAACTCGATAAACTGAAAAATCGGAAAATCAAAATTCGAAAAATCCAAAATTCCAGGATTCCCAAAATCGAAAAAAGTCTAAAAACTAAAGAATAAAAAAAAATTGAAAAATTGAACATTGGAAAAATCGAAAAATTAAAACGCATTGAAAAAACGAGAAATCGAAATATAAAAAAAAAATAAAAATTATGAAGATTGAAAAATCAAAAAACTCAAAAACCGGAAAACCAGAATTCGAAAATTCATAAATTCGAGAATTCCCAAAATCGAAAAAGCGGAGAATAATAAAATGAAAAGTCTAATAACTAAAGAATCAAAAATTGAAGAATAAAAAACTCGAGAAATCGAAAAATTGAAAAATCCCAAAACTCAAATATCGAAAAATTGATGAATCAAAATTTTGAAAAATCTACAATAAATGGGAAAATTAAAAACTCGAAAAATCCAAAAGTAGAAAAATCGAAAAAACGAACAATTCATTAAACGAGAAATCAAAAAATCGAAAAATTGAAAAATTTAAAAGTCGAATAATTTAAACATCAAAAAATTGACGAATCGAAACATTGAAATATTGAAAAACTAAAGAATGGAAAAACTGAAAAATCGAAAAGTAAAAATACTGAAAAATCGAATTTCGAAAAATCCAAAATTCGAAAATTCCCAAAATCGAAAATTTGAACTATCGAAATGTAAAATTGAAAATTCAAATATTGAAAAATGCAAAATTCGAGAAACGAAAATTGCCGAACTCAAAACGAAAAAATAGAAATTTGGAAAATTGGGAATTCCTAAATATCGACAAGTCGAAACATTGAAAATCGAAAAAATTTAAAATGTTTCCTAAAAGTGGAAGAATAAAAGAAAATGAAAATCTAGAAATCAAAAAAACAAACTGAAAAAACGCAAAATCAAAATTCGAAACATCGAAAATTCGAGTATTCCCAAAATTGAAAATTCCGACAAAGCGAAAATTTAGAAACGCCAAAAATTGAAAAGTCGAACAATTTAAAAATCAAAAGATTGAAGAGTCGAAATATTAAAAAATCAAAAATTTGAAAAATCGTAAAACTGAAAATTTTGCGAAATCAAGAAGTCGATAAACCAAAATATGGAAAATTCGAGAAATCAAATAATGGGAAAATCAAAAATTAGTAAAATCGAAAAGTTGAAAAATCGAAAAGTCGCTAAAATTGTAAAATTGAAAAATCAAAAATTTGAAGAATCGAAAACCTGAAAAATCCCAAAACTGGAATATGGAAAAACTGAAAATTGTGAAACTGAAACACTGAAAAATCGGAAAATCAAGAAGTCGAGAAACCGAAACATCGAAAAGTCAAAAATCGATAATTTTGAAGCGCCAAAAATTGAAAAATCGAAAAATTGAAAAATCCCAGATAAAATGTCGAAAAATTCAAAATCGTGAAACTGAAAATATCAAAACTAAAATATAGAAAAACTGAGAAATCGAAAAATCGTAGAATCTTTTTAATCCAAAAATCTGCCTAGGGTAAAAACCCAACACGGATTCATAAACCACAAGTTGGTGGGGATGACTAAACAAATGTTTCTAACATATATACAAAATTTGGCAACAATAAATCACGACAGTTTCAATTCTCTGAAGTTAGGAACAAAGGTGAATTTTATTACCAACTGAAACAAAAAAAAACTATTTAGCACCATTTATTCAAACTTAATCCCCTGCGCTAGCGGCAACTCCTTCGAATGATTAATCGTAATCGTAGCCCTCCTCATGTACTGCTTCCACGCATCACTCCCCGACTCCCTCCCCCCTCCCGTATGCTTCTCTCCTCCAAACGCGCCCCCAATCTCCGCCCCCGACGTCGGAATATTCACATTAACAATCCCGCAGTCCGAGCCCTTGGGACCAATCCACTAAAAACCCAAATTAAAACACACTCAACACGTTTCGCACCTCAAACTACCTTGAAGATGTTCCCAATACTCTGGGTGAAAATACTCGACGACAACCCTTGCGGCACCTCGTTATTCCAAGCGATAGCTTCGTCGACGCTCTCCGTCTTCAGGACGTAGACAATGGGGGCGAAGCACTCGTTGTGGACAAGGGGGCTGTCGTGAGGAAGCCCCGTCACGATAGTGGGTTGGACGAAAAAGCCATCCCTTGCGATTTTCTAAAAATGGGGGTTATTAACTCGTTAAAACACAATTAGGGGTTTTTACTTTTCCCCCAAACTCAATCCGTCCTCCTTGTTTTACGATTTCGGTGATCGTGTTTTCGTAGTTTTGCAAAGACAGGGGGCTGTGGAGGGGGCCGATTAGGGTTTTGTCGTCTAAGGGGTCTCCAATTCGGTGGACGACTTGTTCGTAGGCTTTTTTCAAGCGCTGGAGGACTTCGTCGTGGACCTAGAGAACGAGCCGCGGGTACAATAAGCGTTAGGACACACTATATTGAGTATGTAGTCTTACGGATTTGTGCAGAATTAGTCTCCTGGTGGTGGTGCACCTCTGCCCCGCCGTCCCCACGCACGCGAACACCGTCGCCTGCACCACCATGTCCACGTCGGCGTCTTCAGCCACAATCAGCGCGTTGTTTCCACCCAGTTCCAGAAGATGTTTGCCGAAACGTTTCTGGACTTCCACGCCTACGTTGTGACCCACGGCGGAGCTTCCGGTGAAGCTTAAGAGTTTGATTCTGGGGTCGGCTGCCATGGCTTTTCCGACGTCGGCGCCGCCGCAGCAGAGAGTAGCGATGGCTCCTGGGAGGTGGTTTCTTTCGAGCACTTCGGAGACGATTTTGGTGGTGGCCACCGACACCAAGGGGGTGGTTTCAGAGCCTTTCCACAGGACAGCGTCTCCACAGACCATGGCGATGGCGCTGTTCCACCCGTACACGGCTATGGGGAAGTTGAAGGCCGAAATGACTCCGATGACCCCCAGAGGGTTCCACTTTTCCATGAGGACGTGGCCGGGGCGCTCCGACGGGTAAATCGCACCGGCTAGAGTCCGGGAAAGACCGACGGCGTAGTCACAAATGTCAATATATTCTTGAACCTCGCCGACTCCTTCTGGAAGAATCTTCCCCATTTCGACCGACACGAGTTTCCCGAGGGGTTGGAGTTTGTTCCTGAGGGCATCCCCGATTTGTCGGACGATTTCGCCCCTTTTAGGGGCTGGAAGCTCAGCCCAGACGCTCCAAGCTTCCTCAGAGGCTTTCACACACGACTGGTAGTCATCAACGGTGCCTTGTTTGACCTCCGCGATGACTTTTCCATTGCTGGGGCAAATCGACTGGACTGACTGGAACGAAAACATAGAAAACATGTGGTTATGGAGGTTTTAGGGTTCATACGTCACCGGATCCTTTCCAGCTGCCGTCGTACACCCCGAGGTTCGTGGCCTTGAGCCCCAGGTCCTTCAAGAACGAGTATTTGGGGTCGTTGATCAAAAATTCGCCTGTCGAGGTGGACATTCTGTGAAAACTAGCAACTTTCTTGCACAAGGAGAGGATTTGTGTCGATTTTGTGGCGAAGAGTGGCATCGCTTGTTGCCGAGTTGGTTACTGTGATAAAACTCTTTATCTGTAGGTCAATAGTCGACTGACACACTATTTATGCATTTTCTACAGATATCTCGTAAACAAGATAAGAAAATCGAATGAAGCAAACACTCGAAGATAACACCATAGTTATTTAATTAAAATGGAAAATTATGAACACAGCATAACCCAGTTTGGTTTTTGTTGTTTTCGAAAGTGATTTATTTCTTCCATCACGCTGATAAAATGACTGAAAATTTCAATTTCTGTGGTCGGTTAGGGGAAGGATCGCATATGAGCGAAGAGGTGGTTGAAGTCTCTACGGGTAGGAATGGGGACACCTCCTCGAATTTCTGTGATCCTATTGGTGGAACGGAGATTCCGGCTCGTCAGCTGGAATTTTTGGCAAAATCAATTTATTTTTATTACTATTGGAGTGATCAAGGATCTTCTGGGCTTTCTGTGTTCCTGTTACTAGGTCGAGGATTCAGGTTCGTCAGCTGGAATTTTTGACCATCAAGATGGATGTGGTAATTGACAAAAAAAAAACAATCAATTATCTGTGATTGTTACTAATGTTTCGGAATAATAATAAATTAATAATGGGGATTAAGGGTCAAAGAAGTCGATAAAATTAGAAAAATATACTGTAAATATGTAAAAAATGTTCGTAATGTGGAAATTCCAAATATGGCAAAACGAAAAAATTTAAAAATTTTCCGAAAAGTCGAAAAATCAAAAAACTGAAATTCTAGAAATCGAAAATTGAGTCTGAAAACTCAAGAATGGAAAAATTGAAAAATCGAAAATTGGAAAAATCAAAAATCGAAGAATTAAAAAATCGAGAAATCGGAAAGTAAAAAAATAAAAAAATGCAAAAACTAAAGTATGGAAAAACTGAAATATCGAAAAATAAAAAAAATTAATAAATTTGAATATCGAAAAACCGAAAATTCGAGAAATCGACAAATCTAAAAATTGAAAAGCCTAAAAACTGAAGAATGAAAAAATTGAAAAGTCGAAAATTCGAATATTGAAAAAAAGAATGTTCCAGAAATCGAAAAATAAATAAATTTTAGTCTAAAATGTAAAGAATAATATTGGAAAAATCAAAAATAGAAAAGTCGAAAATTGCAAAAATTTGACAATTCGAAAATTAAAAATAGGAAAACCGAGAATAGAAAATTTAAAAAATAGAAAAATCTAAAATTCGGAAAAACGGAATTTTAAATAATCGAAAATTCTAAAAATTGAGAATCGAAAGAATTGAAAAGTAGTGCAGAAATTCGCCAAACCAAAAAACTGAAAAATCAAAAAATCCAAAAATTAAAAAAGCTGTGAAATTTAAAAACTGAAATGTGGAAAAACTAGAAATACTGAAAATTCCAAAAATTCAATATAGAAAAAATTTTCGGATAGCCGAAAAATAAAAAAATTGAAAACCAAGAAATCCAAACATCCAGCATAGAAAACTCGAAAAATCAAGAAATCCAAAAATGAAAAAGATTGAAATATGTATCGAAAAATTGAAAAATCTAAAAGTGAAAATACTGAAAATTCGAATTTTGAAAAATCCAAAATTCGCAAAATAAAAAAACAGAAATTTCATAAATTGGAAATTCCGAAATATCGACAATTCGACACATTGAAAATCGAAAAAATTTAAAGATCTTCTGAAAAGTCGAAAAATCAAAAAATTGAAAATCTAGAAATCGAAAAAATGAGAAATCATAAAAGCAAAAATTAATAAGATTGAACAATCGAAAATTCCAGAATTCCGTAAATCGAAAATTTGAGCAATCGAAAAATAAAAACTTGGAAAGTCTAAAAACTGAAGAATGGAAAAAATCAAAAATCGAAAACTCAAGAAGTCAAAAAATTAAAAAAGTAAAAAATTGAAAAATCGAAAAGTAAAGTAAAAATTCGAATTTCTAAAAATCCAAAGTTCGCAAAATCGAGAATTCGAAATATCGGAATGTAAAATTGAAACTTCCAATATTGAAAAATTCAAAACTGGAAAATTTGAAAAAATAGAAATTCCGAAATATAGACAATGATTCGAAACATAGAAAATCGAAATAATTAAGAATCTTCCGAAAAGTAGAAAAAGCAAAAATTAAAAATCTAGAAATCGAAAATCAAGGACTCAAGAAATTAAAAAAAATCAAAGAAGTTGAAACATCGGAAAATCAAAATCTAAAAGTAAGAAATTAAGAAAAGTCTAAAAACTGAAGAATGGAAAAATGGAAAAATCGGGAAATCGAAAATTAAAAGAAACAAAAATCGAAGAATGGAAAAATTAAAAAAATTATAATCAAAGAAGCCATAATAAAAAAAATGAGAAATGGAAACACTGAACGATGGAAAAACTGAAAAATTGAAAAACCGAAAATTAAAAAAATTTAAAATTTGGGAAAATTTTAAAATAAAAAAATCGAAATATTAAAAATTCGAAAAATTGAAAATGGAAAAAATTGAAAAATCTTTCGGAAAGTCGAAAAATCAAAAAATTGAAAATCTAGAAACCTAAAAATCGAAAACTCTAGAAATCAAAAATTACAAGAATTGAAAAGTTTGAAAAATCTGAAATCAAAATTCGTGAATTCCCAAAATCGAAAGAAAATTCCGAAAAATTGAAAGTAAAAAATTCAAAAGTGTTCAAACTGAAGATTGGAAAAATTCAAAATTGAAAAACTCAAAAATCGAAAGTCGAAAAATCGAAGAAATGAAAAATCCAAAAATACAAAAACAAATAGAAAAACTGAAGAACAGAAACACTGAAAAATGGAAAAGTTAAAAAATGGAAAATGCGAATGTCGAAAAATCGAAAAGTAAAAAAAATCAAAACCTAAAAACTGAAGAATATCGGAAAACTGAAAAATCTAAAAATCGGAAAATTGAAAAATCGAGAACCTGAGAAATCAAAAAATCCAATCATTAAAAAAAAATGAATCGAAAAACTGGAGAATGGAAAAACTGGAAAATCGAAAAGTAAAAAAAATGAAAATTTGATTGTCGAAAGATCCAAAAATTGAAAAATCGACAATCGAAAATTCGAGAAATCGAATAGTAGTAAAAAATGAAAATTCTGAAAACTGAACAATTCGAAAATTTGGAAAATCAAAAGCCCGGAAATAGAGAAGTCAAAAAATTAAAAAATCTGGAACTCGAAAAAATCAGATTTTCGGGAAATCGAACCAACAATCAATACTAATTTTTCCAAAATACAGCTAGCAACGTCGCCACTGTCAGTTTAGTAATTTATTGTAGCTGAAAATAATTGGGTTATGTTTTTTATGTTAATTCAAAGGGTTTTTATATTATTTATATTTATGCTATATTTAGCATCTTTGTTCAATTTTCTTAGGTTATTTCCATTTTTATAAGTATAATGTGAAAATCGAAAAAATTTTAAAATCTTCTGAAAAATCGAAAAATCAAAAAATTGAAAATCTAGAAATCGAAAAAGTGAGAAATTATAATAGCAAAAATTAATAGGATTGAACAATCGAAAATTTGAGCAATCGAAAAATAAAAACTTGGAAAGTCTAAAAACTGAAGAATGGAAAAAGTCAAAAATCAAAAACTCCAGAAGTTAAAAAATTAAAAAAGTAAAAAATTGAGAAATCGAAAAGTAAAATAAAAATTCGAATTTCGAAAAATCCAAAGTTCGCAAAATCGAGAATTCGAAATATCGGAATGTAAAATTGGAAAATCCAAAACTGGAAAAATCGAAAATTGGAAAATTTGAAAAAACAGAAATTTCGAAAATTGAAAATTCCGAAATATAGACAATAATTCGAAACATTGAAAATCGAAATAATTAAGAATCTTTCGAAGAGTCGAAAAAGCAAAAATTAAAAATCTGGAAATCGAAAATCAAGGACTCAAGATATTTAAAAAAAAAATCAAAGAAGTTGAAAATTCGGAAAATCAAAAACTAAAAGTAAAAAATTGAGAAAAGTCTAAAAACTGAAGACTGGAAAAATAGAAAAATCGGGAAATCGAAAATTAAAAGAAACAAAAATCGAAAAACTAAAGAATGGAAAAATCGAAAATTCGAGAAATTCAAAATCGAAAACTCGAGAAATCAAAGAATCCATAATTAAAAAAAATTGAGAAATGGAAACACCGAACAATGGAAACGCTGGAAAATTGAAAAACAGAAAATTAATAAAGATTAAAATTTGGAAAAATCTTAAAATAAAAAAAATCGAAAAATTGAAACTGGAAAAAATTGAAAAATCTTTCGGAAAGTCGAAAAATCAAAAAATTGAAAATCTAGAAACCTAAAAATCGAAAACTCTAGAAATCAAAAATGACAAGAATTGAAAAGTTTGAAAAATCTGAAACTTAAAATTCGAAAAATCGAAAATTCGAGAATTCCCAAAATCGAAAGAAAATTCCGTAAAATTGAATGTAAAAAATTCAAAAGTGTACAAACTGAAGATTAGAAAAATTGAAAATTGAAAAACTCAAAAATCGAAAGTCGAAGAAATGAAAAATCCAAAAATGCAAAAACAAATAGAAAAACTAAAGAACAGAAAAACTGAAAAATGGAAAAGTTAAAAAATGGAAAATGCGAATGTTGAAAAATCGAAAAGTCGGAAAATTGAAAATTCGAAATATCTGAAAAAAACGAGAAGCAAAAAAGTGGGAAAATACCAAATTGGAGAAATTGGGCACTTGAAAACAGGAAAATCAAAAATTTTATAAAATCGAAAATTCGAAAAGTTGAAAATCGAAAAATTGAAGTCTTCCGAAAAGTCGACAAAAAATTGAAAATCGAGAACTTGAGAAATCAAGAAATCCAAACATAAAAAAAATGAAGAATCGAAAAACTGGAAAATCGAAAATTCGAGAAAAGTAAAAAAGATGAGAATTCTAAAAACTGAAAAATTCGAAAATTTGGAAAATCAAAAATCCGGAAATAGAGAAATCAAAAAATTGAAAAATCTGGAACTCGAAAAAATGAGATTTTCGGGAAATCGAACCAACGACCAACACCGTAATTTTTCCAAAATACAACTGGCAACGTCGCCATTGTGAGTTTAGTGATTTGTTCTAGCTGAAAATAATTGGGTTGTTTTTTATGTTATTTCAAAGGGTTTTTATATTTATGTTAAATGTAGCATCTTTGTTCCAATTTTCTTAGGTTATTTCCACTTTTGTGAGTACAATGTGTTGCCTACAGTGGTTGATGTTTCTGACTGTTTAATGTGTTGCCTATACTTCCACATAAACAACAACTCGTACAAAAATTTAGGATAAATAATTCCTCCAACTTCCACTTTTATTTTTTTATTTCCTACTAAAAATAAATACTTCCACTCTTCATCCAACCCAAAAAATAAAAAAAAATCTTAACTCTCCTTTCCTTTACAAAAACCCAACTTAAACCATTCACTCCTTCTTCATCAAATTATTCTTCAAATACTGAAGAACCTGATGCATCGCCTCCTTCGTCCCCGTCCCCTCAAAAAACGTCAGCTCCAAACCAATACACGAATCCGTCTTCATCACCCCAATCTTCGCCTTCAAATAAACCTTACTCGAAATATTATCCTCCAAATCAGTTTTCAACCTCTTCTTCTTATAAAACCCGTCATCCTCCAACCCCCTCTTGACCGCCGCCCCCGACTCCTCGCAATTCAGTTCCGCCAACTTATCGCAAGTTTTGTGAATATCGCTCCCACTTAAATTATTATTATCACAATTTGAGTCCTCACTGAGGGTCACTGAAGACTCACTAACCCTCAACCTCTCCCTCCTTTTTCTCCTCTGGTGTGACCACGTGTCCGCAAACGCCGTAATAACAAACTCCACCAAATTACTAACGTGCTTGATTTCTTGATAATCAAACTGGAGCCCCCTGAAGATCTCGACAAGTCTTTCAGAAACCGTGGCAAGTTTATACGGAACCTCATCACGTTTAGGCACTTCATAATAAAGCGGTTTCGGCAACTTGTGTTTAGCCACAACCAAAGAATCCGGGATTTTCGTTAAATCGATATCGGCGAACGTCCACGCTAGCCCCCACCGGGTGGTGTGACCCTGACAGAACTCCGTCTGTTTGAAACTAACAACTTCCACTTCTCTCAACAATTTTTTCAAAGGGGGCAACGTCGATTTGTGGCCCACCATACTCGAATAAATTTTGATTTGTGTACCTAAAGTCTTGCTTTCGTTGATCAGTCGACTGATATAGTCGACTTCACCCCCTTTAGCCACCACTTCATCCACTGACGCACAAAACGCGTTCCTGGGGTGTGGTCTGTTCTGCTTCCGGGCTTTGAAAAACGGGTGCAGTTCTTGCGTGGTTGAGAAAAACGGGGGGTTGCACATGCAGAAGTCGTACTCATGGGGGTGTTGATTGACTGCTTCGTTCAAAAGGGTGTCTTTGACTTGGATTACCGTGACGAGGTTCTGGAGGGAGTTGCGTTTGACGTTTTCCGTTGCGAATTTGATGCTTTCGGGGTCAATCTCAGTGGCTAACATTGTCCACTGGTTTTTCTTGGCGGCTATAGTGGGGTACACACACGAGGCCCCCGTTCCAATGTCTATACCTTTAATGTTGTCGGTGCGACCGGCAACGCTGAGCAGGTCTTCAATCCAGAGAATGTAGTTGAGTCTGAGGGGCACGGTTGGTATTAGTTTGTTTAGGGGGATTTGGATGTCCAAACCGAAGTCCTTTTTTAGTAGGGTACAAGTGAGGGCGCGCAGCGCCTCCACGTTTTTGAAATCGATGGTGATTTTCCCTGATAGGTCTTGGGTTGCGTGTTTTCTAAAGTCGGGGTATTGTATAGCAAGTTGTTTGAAGTTGGGGGGCTGCTTATAGATGTTTCTTGGGTGCATGTACTGATTCATCGACATTGTCTAGACGGGGAAAAAGGGCCAAAAATTAACAATTCGACGCAAATTGGGTACTTACGGTAACTTGGAGTCGTCAACGCTGTATTAAGAAACGTAAAATGCATAAAAAACGCAATTTTTTGTATTTTTTCAAATTTCAACATAACCTCAAATTATTATATTCAGTGTTGCCACCACGTCAAAGTTCCTAGCGTCATAGTCGGTTGTCTTAGCACACAGATATTGAATGAATAGATAGACAATGCCATAGATCTTCCAAACAGTCAAAGTCGACGAACAAACAAATATTTTTTATCTCAAGCGCTATGAAAAATAACGAATTACGATACGAAAATGAATCCTGGCTTCGAGTTGATGTTTTTGCTACAAAAATGTCTCTTAATAACAGAAAACAATCTGTTATCATTACACCTTTGTATTCTCCTGAAAATTTTTTGAAATATCTCCTAGAAGCGTTGTAGATGAAAAGTGGAGGATTTAAGTTTATTACTACAAAAATTTACTATTCTATACATGTTTTAAGTTTCTTGTTGTCGAAATAAGTCTGCCGATATTAAGAAAAAAAGGCAAAATATAGCCCCGCCCACCCACCCTGTCTCAATTGTAATGATTTTATTTTATTCGTCGTGAGCCAAGAAGGCGGAGCTTAGCTGCAAAATCCATATTTCCTTACAAAAATTTACCATTATAAACGCGTTTTAAGTTTCTAAGAATAAAAAAATCATCACAATAGAGATGGGGTGGGTGGGCGGGGTTTATATTTTGCCGTTTTTTCTTAACATACATGTTTTTAATGTCTCGCAAAGAAATAAGTATTTTACGCTCACGGCGACTTTCCGAGTTTTTGTTTTTTCGATTTTCCGACTTTTCGGTAGAATTTCCTATTTTCCGAAATTCAGATTTTTTCGAATTGCAGATTTTTAAATTTTTTGATTTCTCTATTTTCGGTTTTTCAGTTTTTAGGATTTTCATCTTTTTTACTCGAATTTTCAATATTTGAATTTTTTTTTTTTCAATTTTTTTGAATTTTCAATTTTTTTAATTTCCTGTTTTTCGATTATCCAGTTTATCCATATGTACTTCAGTTTTCCGATTCTTCAAATTTTTTAATTAAATGGAAATGATTTTGTATTTTTGTATTTTTCAATTTTCAATTTTTCCAATCTTCAGTTTATATACTTTTGAATTTTTTACTTTTCGATTTTGGGAATTCTCGCATTTTCGATTTTTCGAATTTTGAATTTCCGATTTTTCAAATTTCTTAATTCCTGTCATTTGTGACTTCTCGAGATTTCGATTATTTGATTTTATTTTTCGAATTTCCGTTTTTCCGAATTTTAGATTCTTCAAAATTAGTTATTTTGGATTTTTGCAATTTTTCGTCTTTCGTTTTTTCTATTTTGATTGATTACATTTTCGATTTTTCAATTTTCGTTTTTTCGGTTTTTCTATTTCCATTCTTAAGTTTATAGACTTCCATTTTTCACTTTTCTATTTTAGGAATTTCCGTTTAGATTTTTCAAAATTTTTGATTTTTCCAATTTTGAATTTTTGCAATTTTTGGTCTTTCTTTTTTTCTAATATTTGATTTTCATTAATTAAATTTTCGATTTCACGATTTTTCGATTTTCGAAAAATTTTTTTTTTCTCGATTTTTCAATTTTTCCATTCTTCAGTTTTTCAATTTGTAAATGTTTTGATTTTAGTTTTTTTAATTCCTTGAGTCCTCGATTTTTCGATTTCTAGATTTTCAATTTTTTGTTTTTTCGACTTTTCGGAAGATTTTTAAATCTGTCCCATTTTCATGTTTCGAATTGTCGATATATCGGAATTTCCAATTTTCAAAATTTCTATTTTTTTAAGTTTCCGAATTTTCTATTTTTCAATTTTTCCTTATGATTACTGGAATTTTTAGTTTTTTACTTTTCGATTTTTGGATTTTCAGTTTTTCCATTCTTCCGTTTTTAGACTTTTCCAATTTTCCACTTTTGGATTCCTCGAATTTTCGATTTACGGATTCTGGAATTTTCGATTTTTCGAATTTTAATTTTCCGATTTTTCAGTTTCTCCATTCTTCAGTTTTTCGATTTTTCTGTCTTTCTCATTTTTGGTTTCTTGATTTCTCGCGTTTTCGATTTTTCGATTTCTAGATTTTCAATTTTTTGATTTTTCGGAAGATTTTTAATTTTTTTTTGATTTGTCGATATTTCGGAATTTCCAATTTCCGAAATTCTATTTTTTCAATTTTTCGAGTTTTCAATTTTTCGTTTTGATTTCTGGAATTTTCAATATTTCGATTTTATTGATTTTTTTATTTTTTTGACTTATTCGCACTTATTACACGCATTCATATTTTTTGGATTTGCATATACAGGGTGACTCAAAAAAATTAGTGAATGCGTGAATTTACTTTATTTATTTAATCAGGAACTATAAAACCGAATGCTTTGAAATCTTGGAGATGTTTTGATTGTATCATAAGCGCGGTAAATTTTTAATCAAAATGTATTTGCTCATCCCCCCTAAAAAATTGATGACGTCACCCCAAAATTTTGATTTTATCATTCCATTCATATTTTTTAGATTTGGTGGCTCAAAAAAAATTAATGAATGGGTCAACACCCTTATTATTAGTAGTACATTGCACCAACCCAATTTCATAGACACAAAATTTTGTAAAGTAAAGACTGGTTTGAAACATTAAATTTATACAAAGAAATATCGATCTATAGTTTCTTGCAAATCACCATGTTTTAAGTTTCTTGTCGTGAAAAGATGGCTACGTATATTTAAAAAAGGCAAAATATAAGCCCCGCCCACCCACCCTATCTCACTTCTGGTGATTTTTTTATTCGTCGTAAACCGAGGGGCGGAGCTTAATTGTAAGATCCTTATTTTTCTACAAGAAAGTACAAAGCTGCATATCAAACTATATTTGTTCATAGAACTCAAAATACAAAAGGCATTAAAAACTTAACCTACTTCTTCAAACTACGACCTCAGTAGCGACTTAAACCAGAGGATAACTGGCCGCCGTGGCAATTCCACAATTATTTTTGCGATTGCGGGCCATCAGGATGTACCCTTGAGCCCCCCAGCTCTCTCCCCACGAGTTCTTAACAATCCAGTAGTCGTTACCCTTGTTGTCGGTCCCATACCCCACAGCCAAGACTCCGTGGTCCAGCAGATCCTCGCTGCACTCCGGCTCGTAGTACACCCCGCTCTGGTACTGCTGGAAGCTCTCATGGCTAGCATCTATAGCGACCGAAATCGGTCCAACCGTAGCAACCGCCTTCTGGAGCGCATCCTCGTCGCCAGCCGCGATGTCCACGAAACCGCGATCCGTAGCCCCCTTGTTCTTGGGGTTGTAGTGGCACCGTTCGTCCTCAGCCTTATACGGGTACGACTTTTCGGTGTCGATGCCTTTGTTAGCCTTGATGTACAGGAAAGCGTAGTCCATCAAACCACCTTGGCAACCCTTGTTGCCGAATTTTTGGGAGCAGTCCACAAGGTTTTGCTCGCTTAGGGACACCAGTTTCTTGGTTTTGCGGAAGTTTTGCCCCTCCAAGGAGCCCGTCTACAAAATAGACAAGATTTAGTTATGATTACACTTATTTTAAGTACTCACAGCGCTGAAAGCCCAGCATGATCCACACTGTCCTTGGTCTTTTATTCCTGTAACCGCCCCTTTCTTCCTCCAGTCCACGGAGGCTGGGACTTCCACGTTAGCAGGAGGGATGAACGTGACGCCATCTTCTATCTCGCTTCCACTCATTGCGGTTCTATTGAAACCGTTCATGATCTGGATGAACTCCTGGTGCAGCATGTCGGAGTATTTATTGATACCCATTTCGTAAGTGACCAATCCCTGGGCGTACAATTTGTTATGTTGGGCGACTTTGTGGGAGTTTTCCATGAAAATTTTCATGCGAAAACGTTCTTCGATTTCGCCTGGGTATTGTTTGTTGTAAGTAAGCTGCAAAAAATTTGATATTCAAACATTTTTATTTAGTCAAGGCAAACATGATTGATGAAGATTATCTTGACAGGTTGTCAAATTTGATTAGTTGGTACTTCCCCCAGATATTTAATCCGCCAATCAAACACAGGGTGTGTTCGGATGGTGATAACATAGATTAATATAAATGCGACATACAGGCCGATTTTGCAAAACCACCCTTATTGACATTGGAGTCCTCAACCGCCAAAGACAAGCGCCAAATTTAAATAGTCGATGCCAATAAAAAAACTGATTTGGTTGGTTTGGACTATAATTTCTGGTCGGTTTTTATAACGACCAAGCGAATATTTTTGGTATATTAAAATAAGAATATTGTTGAAATCGTAATAACCTAATGGATTTTTTTCGAGAAAATATTTTGGAAACACTGTGTCCTATTTTGTATGAATTTTTAAATATTTTTAGAGACAATTTTTGTGGTTGTTTTCGATACACTGTATGATATTAACAGTGAGAAAAAAAAAAATGAAAAATTAAAATAATCGAAAAACCGAGAAATCGAAAAATCAAAAGATCAAGAAATCATGGGGTCGAAAAGTCGAACAATTGAGAAACCAAAATAAGTCAAAATCGAAAAGTTAAAAATTGAGAAATTGACAATCAAAATATCGAAAAATCCAAATCTCGATAAATCGAGAAATCTAAAAATTTAAAAATTCGAAAAATTGAAAAATTGGGGAATTGGGAGATCAAAAGAACGGGAAATCGAAAAGTGATGAAGTCGAAGAATCAAAAAATAGAGAAATCGACAAACAAAAAGTTAAAAGTTGAAAAATTGGAAAAGCAGAAAAATCAAAAAACGAAAAAGTGGAAAACTGGAAAAACTGAGAAACCGAAATAGGCCAAAATAAAAAATTGAAAAAATGATAAATGGAAAACCTGAACAATCAAATCTCGATAACTCGGGAATGAAAAATTAACAAATCGAAAAATTGAAAAACAGAACATCTGAAACCAGGAAGTCGAAAAATCTAAAATTTAAAAATCCAAAAATTGAAAAATCGAAAAAGTAAAAAGATAGACGCATCGAAAAATCGAGAAGTCAAAAATAGAAAGGCCGAAAAATCGAAAAATCAAACAAGTGAAGTCGAAAAATAGAAACCTTAAAAAATCGAGAAATTGAAAAATCAAAAACCTGAAAAATCAAAAAATTAAAGAATTGAAGAACCGTAAAATCGAAACATCGATTAATCGAAAAATCGAAAAATTGAGTTTATAAAAGTCGAATTTGAAAAATTAAAAAAGCGAAAATTCGACAAAATGATAAATGAAAAACAGAAAATCTAAAACCGGGAAATCGAAAAATCAAAAGATTAAGCAATCGAAAAATTGAAAAATCGAAAAAGTAAAAAAATCGAAAACTCTAGAAGCCAAAAATCCAAAAGTCGAAGAATTGAAATATTGAAACATCCCAAAACTGAAAATATCGAAAAACTGAAAAATGGAAGAAAAACTGAAAAATGGAAATCCTGAAAAAACGAAAAACCGAGAAATCGAAAAATCAAAAGATCAAGAAATCATGGGGTCGAAAAGTCGAACAATTGAGAAACCGAAATAGGTCAAAATCGAAAAGTTAAAAATTGAGAAATTGACAATCAAAATATCGAAAAATCCAAATCTCGATAAATCGAGAAATCAAAAAACTTAAAAATTCGAAAAATTGAAAATTGGGGGATTGAAAGACCAAAAGAACGGGAAATCGAAAAGTTATGAAGTACAAAAATCGAAAAATTGAGAAATCTACAAACAAAAAGTTAAAAGTTGAAAAATTGGAAAAGCGGAAAAATCAAAAAACGAACAAATGGAAAACTGGAAAAACTGAGAAACCGAAATAGGCCAACATAAAAAATTGAAAAAATGATAAATGGAAAACCTGAACAATCAAATCTCGATAACTCGGTAATGAAAAATTAACAAATCCAAAAATTGAAAAACAGAACATCTGAAACCAGGAAGACGAAAAATCGAAAGATTAAGAAATATTGAAAAATTAAACATAAGTCGAAAAATCTAAAATTTAAAAATCCAGAAATTGAAAAATCGAAAAAGTAAAAAGATAGACGCATCGAAAAATCGAGAAGTCAAAAATAGAAAGGCCGAAAAATCGAAAAATCAAAAAAGTAAAGTCGAAAAATAGAAACCTTAAAAAATCGAAAAATTGAAAAATCAAAAACCTGAAAAATCCAAAAATTAAAGAATTGAAGAACCGGAAAATCGAAACATCGATTAATTGAAAAATCGAAAAATTGAGTTTATAAAAGTCGAATTTGAAAAATTAAAAAAGCGAAAATTTGACAAAATGATAAATCAAAAAAAAGAAAATCTAAAACCGGGAAATCGAAAAACCAAAAGATTAAGCAATCGAAAAATTGAAAAATCGAAAAAGTAAAAAAATCGAAAACTCTAGAAGCCAAAAATCCAAAAGTCGAAGAATTGAAATATTGAAACATCCCAAAACTGAAAATATCGAAAAACTGAAAAATGGAAGAAAAACTGAAAAATGGAAATCCTGAAAAATCGAAAAACCGAGAAATCGAAAAATCGAAAGATCAAGAAATCATGGGGTCGAAAAGTCGAACAATTGAGAAACCGCAATAGGTCAAAATCGAAAAGTTAAAAATTGAGAAATTGACAATCAAAATATCGAAAAATCCAAATCTCGATAAATCGAGAAATCAAAAAACTTAAAAATTCTAAAAATTGAAAAATTGGGGGATTGAAAGATCAAAAGAACGGGAAATCGAAAAGTGATGAAGTCGAAAAATCGAAAAATAGAGAAATCGACAAACAAAAAGTTAAAAGTTGAAAAATTGGAAAAGCGGAAAAAACAAAAAACGAAAAAATGAGAAACTGGAAAAACTGAGAAACCGAAATAGGCCAACATAAAAAATTGAAAAAATGATAAATGGAAAACCTGAACAATCAAATCTCGATAACTCGGGAATGAAAAATTAACAAATCGAAAAATTGAAAAACAGAACATCTGAAACCAGGAAGTCGAAAAATCGGAAGATTAAGAAATATTGAAAAATTAAACATAAGTCGAAAAATCTAAAATTTAAAAATTCAAAAATTGAAACATCGAAAAAGTAAAAAGATAGACGCATCGAAAAATCGAGAAGTCAAAAATAGAAAGGCCGAAAAATCGAAAAATCAAAAAAGTGAAATCGAAAAATAGAAACCTAGAAAGTCGAAAAATTGAAAAATCAAAAACCTGAAAAATCAAAAAATTAAAGAATTGAAGAACCGGAAAATCGAAACATCGATTAATTGAAAAATCGAAAAATTGAGTTTATAAAAGTCGAATTTGAAAAATTAAAAAAGCGAAAATTTAACAAAATGATAAATGAAAAACAGAAAATCTAAAACCGGGAAATCGAAAAATCAAAATATTAAGCAATCGAAAAATTGAAAAATCGAAAAAGTAAAAAAATCGAAAACTCTAGAAGCCAAAAATCCAAAAGTCGAAGAATTGAAATATTGAAACATCCCAAAACTGAAAATATCGAAAAACTGAAAAATGGAAGAAAAACTGAAAAATGGAAAACCTGAAAAATCTGAAAACTGAAATATCCAAAAACTGAGAACCTAAAAAGTCGACAAATCGAAAAATCCAAAAGTCAAAAATGGAAGAGTCGAAGAACAGAAATATAGAAAAATCCCAAAACTTAAATATCCAAAAACTAAAAAATGAAAGAAAAACTGACGAATCGAAAAACTAAAAAATCCCAAAATTAAAAAGTCGAAAAATTAAGCAAACGAAAAATGCAAAAAGTGAAGTCGAAAAATCGGAACCTTAGTACTAAAAAATGAAAAATCAAAAACCTGAAAAATCAAAAAATTAAAGAATTGAAGAACAGGAAAATCGAAACACTCGAAGGTCAAGAAATGGGAAAATCAAAACACCGATTAATTGAAAAATCGAAAAATTGAGAGTTTATAAAAGTCAAATTTGAAAAATAAAAAAATCGAAAATTTCACAAAATGACAATTGAAAAACACAAAATCTAAAACCGGGATGTCTAAAAATTAAAAGACTAAGAAATCCAAACGTTTGGAAAATTCTGAAATGAAAAATCGACACATCGAAAAATCCAGGAGTCAAAAATCGAATCGATTTTTTGAATTTCCCATTTCTCAGTGTTTCAATTCAAGTTTTTGAATTTCCGGGTTTTCGTTTTGCCATTTTCGATTTCTCAATTTTTCGGTGTTTTACTTTCGGCATTTTTCAATATTTTGATTCTTCAGTTTTTCGATTTTTCGATTTCTCGGTTTTTTATTTTTTCGTTTTTTTTTGTTTTTGGATTTTAAAATTTTAGATTTTTCAATTTTTCGACTTTTCTGTTTTTCAATTTTTCGAACATTAAATTTTAGAGTTTGTTTCAATTTCTTGATGTTTCGAAATTTTAACTTCTTGGTTCTAGATTTTTCAATTTTTCAATTTTTAAAATCAATTTTTCGGTGTTTCAATGTTTTAATTGATCAGTTTCTCGATTTTTATATTCTTCAATTTTTCTATTTTTTCAGTTTTGACCTATTGACGATTTCTCAAATTTTCGATTTTTCTACTTTTCGGCTATTCGGTTATTCGATTTTCCATTTTTTTGATGTTTCAATTTTTCAAATTCTCGATTTTTCATTTTCTGATTTTTCAATTTTTCGATTGTTTCAATTTCGGATTTTCGATTTCTCGGTTTTCCCTTTTTCAATTTTACAAATTTTAGATTTTTGAAATTTCCATTTTTCGATTTTTTGAAGCATCGATTCCTCGATTTTTCAATTTTTCCATTATTCAATATTTCGCTACTTTAATTTTTAAATTTTTTCAATTTAAGACATTTCGATTTATCGATTTGTCGATTTTTCAGTTCTCCGATATATTTTTCAATGTGGCGGATTTTTAAATTTTTGATGTTTCAATTTTTGGTTTTTACAATTTTTTTGATTTCTTGACGATCCGGTTTTTCTACTTTTAAAATTTTTCAAATTTTTGGATTGTTAGATTTCTCGATTTTTCGAGTTTTCGATTTCTCAATTTTTCAATACATGTTTTAATTTTGACAACTTTTGCATTTCTGGATTTTTCAATTTTTCGGTTTATAACGTTTCTAAATGTTCATTTTTACGGTTTTCTAATTTCTCAATTAATCGATTTTTTTATTATCCCATTTTTCAGTTTTTTGACTTTTCGGTGGTTCGATTTTTCAGTTTTTCAATTAAATGTTTTGAATTTTCGTGTTATCGTTTTACCATTTTTCAATTTTTCAAATTTTCTATTATACGACTTCCAGTTCTCGACTTTTCGATTTTTCAATTTGTCGATAAAATTTAAAAATCGAAAAATTGAAAAATCGAAAAAGTAAAAAAATCGACACATCGAAAACTCCAGAAGCCAAAAATCAAAAAGTCAAAAAATCGAAATATTGAAATCCAGAAGTCAAAAAACAGAAAAGACGAAGAATTGAAATATTGAAAAATCCTAAAATTGAAATATCTAAAAACTGAAAAATCGAAAAATCAAAAAGTGAAGTCCAAAAATAGAAACCTTAAAAAATCGAAAGATTGAAAAATCAAAAACCTGCAAAATCAAAAAATTAAAGAATTGAAGAACAGGAAAATCGAAACACTCGAAGGTCAAGAAATGGGAAAATCGGAACATCGATTAATTGAAAAATCGAAAATTTGACAAAATGACAATTGCAAAACAGAAAATCTAAAACCGGGAAGTCGAAAAATCAAAAGATTAAGAAATCGAAACATTTGAAAAATTCGAAAACGTGAAAAATTCAAATATCGAAGAACTGAACTGAAAAATCGAGAAATGGAAAAATTGAAAAATCGTAGAAGTAAAATAATCGACACATCGAAAAATCCAGGAGTCAAAAATTGAAAAGTCGAAGAATCGAAATATTGAAAAATTCCAAAACTGAGATATCGAAAAACTGAAAAATGAAAGAAAAACTGAAAAGTGGTAAACTTGAAAAATCCGAAACCTGAAATATCCAAAAACTGAGAACCTAAAAAGTCGAAAAATTGAGCAACCAAAAAAATCCAAAAAGTGAAGTCGAAAAATCGAAACTTTAAAAAAACTAAAAAATGAAAAATCGAAAAATTAAAGAATTGAAGAACCGGAGTATCGAAACCCTCGAAAGTCAAGAAATGGGAAAATCAGAACATCGATTAATTGAAAAATCGGAAAATTGAAAGTTTATGAAAGTCAAATTTAAAAAATTGAAAAATCGAAAATTTGAAAAAACGACAATTGAAAAACAGAAAATCTAAAAGCGGAAAGTCGAAAAATCGATTGATTAAGAAATCGAAACATTTGAAAAATTGAAATATGGAAGAGCTGAAATGAAAAATCGAAAAATCTAAAATTTTAAATATTGAAAAATTAAAATACCAAAAAATTGAGAAATCTAAAATTTAAGAATCGAAAAAGTAAAATGTCGACACATGGAAAAATCCAAAAGTCACAAATGAAAAAGTCGAAGAACAGAAATATTGAAAAATCCGAAAACTGAAATGTCCAAAAACTGAGAAATTAAAAAATTGAGAAATTGAGAAATCTAAAAAACAAAAAAGTGAAGTTGAAAAATCGAAACCTGAAAAAATTGAAAAATTGAAAAAACAAAAAACCAGAAAAATCAATTAATTGAAAAATCGACAAATAAAGAGTTATAAATAAAAGTCAAAAATTGAAAAATCGAAATATTTTAAAATCGTAAAATTGAAGAGAAAAACTGAAAACCGAGAAATTGAAAAATTGAGAAATTGTGAAATCCAAAAATTGAATAATAAATATGAGTAAATTGAAAAGTCCCCAAACTAAAATTTCGAAAAAATGAGAATTCGGAAGTTGAAACATCAAGAAATTTAGAATTTAGAAATGTAGGAATTTTACTGCAGCTGCTGTTGTGATAAGTTGTTTGAAATATTTATATCGTACGGGATGATATGTCTGCATGGCAACACGCTGGTGAATCCCCGGTCTATTTTTAGTTATCATTAGAATGTTTGTTGGATGACTCGTCGTGGCGCCTTTTGATATTAAAAACTAAGTTCTTTTTTTAAATGGCCTTCAGTTTATTAATCTTAATGTCACTATTTACTTGTCCGGTATTTTAACGTGATATAATATTTGTTTAGCTTTAGCTTAATCTAAAGTTCGCATATATTGACACAAAAGACGGTAGTTCCCCCAAATTCAGTCTTCTAGTCAAACAATAAGTCATTGAAGTTTTTTTTTTCAATCAATAAGTAATAACTTGAAAATTCTTGAAAAAACTAACCTTGTAAGCGGCCCATTGTTCTTGTACTAAGTTGGAAAACGACACTGCCTGGCTGCCAATCACACAAACGGATAGGAAAATTTGGAACTTCATTGTTCTGAAAAAAAAAAAAAAACGAAATTAATAGCAAAGGTGGCACAAAATAGTGTAATAAAGCCACCAGTGGCACGGGAGTCAAGAGAAAAAGTTTAATTACCTCTTGTTGTTCGACTGTTCTGTTCACCTCGACCACAAAACAGAAAATGATCGCGAATACAAAATTGGTGAGATTCAAATTTGTAATGGAGATTAAGAGCCCCCTTCCACTGCGTCGCCAACTTGCGGAGCGAAACTCCCTAGATGGATTGTGGTTAATTTTTTTTTTCTGTTATTACCGAAAATGTGTGTAAATTAAAATTTCGCTGTTTTATGACTTCTGCGGACATTAATTTACGATTTTGTTATCTCTCTTGTTGAAAATAAATCACTCTTTAGTAATTTAGTGATATAAGGCAGTGTTGCCAGTCGTGCGAAAATGGCTGATCAGTTTGATTGTTCCGCCGATCGACGCAAAATTTTGGAAGAAAATGCGAAACGAAGAACTTTTCTTCGTAATGTGTTCTTGAAAGAAGTTTCCGACCCGTTTAGACATGCCTCGGGGGAAGGAGGGACCGTGGTAAGTCGAAATGGTGTTATGTCATACCTAACCTAAAATAACTATGAAAATTTTACTTAAACATTGCGGGGGGATTTGCAATTTCGAGCGGTTTGTTTTGTTTCACATTATTTACAACGACAATCATTACAAAGATGGGTATGAAGCAGCAGTAGCGATACCGCAGTTGTTGCCGTGGTTGCGGATGTGTCTGTAGAAACCACTTTCGCCCCATTGCTGCCCCCAGGAGTTCTTGACGATCCAGTAGTTGTAACCGTCTTCGGAACCATACTTTACGACGAGGACACCGTGGTTGAGGTCTCTGTCGTTGCAAGTGGAGTCATACAAGACTCCCCCGCTGTAGAACTGGAGTTGGTCGGTGGCGTCAATGCCCACAGAAACCGGACCGTTGTTGGCGACGGCTTTAGCGAGAGAGTTTTCGTCTCCAGAGGGTAAATCATAGACCCCATTAATCTTAGTGACAGACTGGGAAGCGTTGAATCTGCACTTGCCAAGTTTGCCTTCGTACAGATAGTCACTTTCGCTCATGATACCATAGTCGTGGATGTAGTCAAAGGCGCTTCCCATACAAACTTAGTCTCCGCATTTCACTCCCTTAGCATTAATTTAATACAAAGTTTCACGCAAAAATTTAAATTTACAATAGATATACTTTTCTCATACAAACTTAACCAGTATTTTTCACCCCCTTAGGGGTTAAATCTCGGAAAATGCTTAAATACGTGTTTCACTATACATTAATACTAAATTCCATGTTAAAAATTTACAACAGAAATAATTTTCCGATATAAAGTTAGCCACCACTTTTCACCCCCTTAGGGGTTGAATCTCGGAAAATGTTCAAATACGTGTTTCATTACTTGTGTTGAAGAGCATTAGTACCAAGTTTCATGTACAAATTTAAATATACTCGTACAACAGAAATATTTTCCCATACAAACTTAGCCTCCACATTTCACCCCCTTAGGGGTCGAATTTTAGAAAATGCTTAAAGACGGGGTTCATTATTTGTGTTGAAGAACATTAATACCAAGTTTCACGGAAAAATTTCAATTTATTGTAGAAATATTTTCCCTAAGCAAACTTTGCCGCCCAAATTTAGACACCACTTTTCACCCCCTTAGGGGTCGAATCTCCGAAAATGCTTAAATACGTATTTCCTTATTTGTATTGAAGAGAATTAAAATATACCAGGTTTCACGCAACGATGTAAATTTACAGTAGATATATTGGTCCTATACAAATTTTATGACCCCTTTTTAACCCCCGTAGGGGATGAATTTCGTAAAATCGCTTCTTAAACGATGCCTCCAGTATAAAATGAACATTCTCAGCAAATTTCAACTTTTTAGCATTAGCGGTTTGGGCTGGGCGTTGATAGGTCAGTCGGGACATTGCCTTTTATATAATAAAGATTATATAATATAAAGATAAATAAGAATGACTAAACAGTATTAAGAATAATCACTGTAATGAAGAGGGGGTGGGTGGGCGGGGCTATTGCTTGTTTTAAAAAGATTCTATAGGAAAAGTTTGACTTAACCCCACCCACCCACCCGTTCTCTCATTTTTTTGGTAAATCACTGAACAGTATTAAGAGTAATCACTGGAATAAAGAGGGGGTGGGTGGGCGGGGCTATTGCTTGCTTACAAAAGATTCTATAGGAAAAGTTTGACTTAACCCCACCCACCCACCCGTTCTCTCATTTTTTGGTAAATCGCTGAACAGTATTAAGAGTAATCACTGGAATGAAGAGGGGGTGGGTGGGCGGGGCTATTGCTTGCTTACAAAAGATTCTATAGGAAAAGTTTGACTTAACCCCACCCACCCACCCGTTCTCTCATTTTTTGGTAAATCGCTGAACAGTATTAAGAGTAATCACTGGAATGAAGAGGGGGTGGGTGGGCGGGGCTATTGCTTGCTTACAAAAGATTCCACAGGTAAAAGCTTGACTTAACCCCACCCACCCACTCGTTTTCTCATTTTTTTGGTAAATGACTGAACAGTATTAAGAGTAACCATTGGAATGAAGAAGGGGTGGGTGGGCGGGGCTATCGCTTGCTTACAAAAGATTCCATAGGAAAAAACTTGACTTAACCCCACCCACCCACCCGTTCTCTCATTTTTTTGATAAATTACTGAACAATATTAAGAATAGTCACTGGAATGAAGAGGGGGTGGGTCGGCGGGGCTATTGCTTGCTTATAAAAGATTCCATAGGGAAAAGTTTGACTTAACCCCACCCACCCATCCGTTGTCTCATTTTTTGGTAAATGACTGAACAATATTAAGAGTAATCACTGGAATGAAAAGCGTGGGCGGGGCCAGTACCTGCTAGGATAAGATGGATTTTCACAAATGACGTATCCTCCAAGAAAATTAATTAAATTATTATAAGAAAAGACACTAGAGGCTCCAAAGCACTTTCCAATTCTATCCAAACATGAATACCTAGAACCTCAAGATTGTTTTAAATTTTCAAAAAAAAAAAAAACAAAACATGGTATATGTAGTCTTTTATTCGTAATAAGAAACTTAAAACCGTAATTTTTGTAAACAAATATAGACTTTGCAATTAAGGGGACTCGCTAGACGAGCTATAACATTTTTTTGGTTTTTTGTATGAAAAAATGATATTAATATTGATGTATCATAGATCAAACTGCAGCTTTTTTCATATTCTAGAGCGCAGAGACTAGTTCAATCAATTACAAAAATATGGCTGAGAAATATCGTAAAAAAAAGCAGCATTGTATGTTTTCTTTTCAAGTTTTTTGAGTCATACTCATAACCATCATAGAATCACTTGAAAATTCGCACATGGATAAAACATCACTTTTTACAGGCCGCAGAGTCATTAAATGTTTGTTAGTGGTACAATTTGTTTAAATAATAATGTGTTTATTAAAATGAAAATATACCACAAATTAATGCAAAATACGTCGAATAATTTTAACAGGAATATCAGAGATATCAGAATATCTATTGGTTAGCAGAGTTTTTAACAAAAACTAACAATTATTGAAAAAAATGGGTATCAATTCGACAGATTTTGAGCCGTTAGTTCAGTACTTTGCCTCTAGGAGCGCCACTAAAATTTACGGAAGCGACTTTCCAGGTAAAACCCTTATCGCCTGCTCTACCATAAGCTGATTGTTAGCGTTCTCGGCTGATTTTTCTAATTTATGGCAAGGAACTCAGTTTTATAACAAGCCACCAGGACTGGCCGTAGTAATCTATTTAACTTTTACGCAATGAGGTATTATCATAAAACCGAATTAAAACTCGGGAACTATAATATTTTTACTGCACTCAGGATCCTGAATTCAATACACATTATTACTAAAAATTCATTGTAATATTATTGTTAACATATATTTTACTTTGTTAATTAATAAAACTAATAAACATATTTATAATAATAATAAAAAAATATATAAAATACAGCTTTTGTTTAACACATATAAGTAGCTAAGTGTATCTACTACTAATCCCAGAAAGGAGGTGTTTTAAAAAAGCCCTACGTCCAGTAACTTCTCCCTGCATTGTTTACTCGAAAAAAGTGCTCGTATATGTTTTCATTTGCCGAGAGATCATTTTCAAAATATATTTATAATAAAAATATGCAAGTCTTGGTGATGAAAAATGTACTCCTAATAAATTATTAAAGTACATAAAAAAATAGAAACAAATTTTATTTATTTTAAAAAAATCTCTCGCAAAGGCAGGTTCCTCTTTCTTCTTGAATCAATTATTTCGGGCAATAATGCGCCAAAGTAAAATCTGCCAAGTTTATCTGGCATCTTTTTACATATTTCTTAGTTTTTTTCTATATTAATTCCTAAATAAACTTGTGAAATACCCGTAACAAGCATTTGTCCCTGGACTTGAAAGTAGTAATCATGATTTTTTTTAGTTTCAATTCACTCTGTGTCAATGTACAAAATTTGATTTTTTTTTCTAACCGCTTCTTCGGGAGTCAAATCTTGCGATTTTGAAGGGCATTTAATTTCGACTAATGCACTCATAATCCTCCAGAACCCTGTCTGGACTAGCAGCCAAGTAAGGAAATTGTTTTGAAATAAACAAGCCACACCGTTCAGTTTTTATATTTTTATTTAATTCAAAACACTTGACAGCTTTTTCCTCACTTTGTTGCCCATAGTATGTATGATTATTACCTCTAAATGTACTGTACAACAGAGACTTCACAGTTTTAGCTATTGCTTGCTTACAAAAGATTCTATAGGAAAAGTTTGACTTAACTACGTACTTACAACTAAGTTTGTAAATACCTCCAAAATTTGAAGCCGTAACCCTAATTTCTTTTGCCCAAATGTGCCTGTTGCCTAGTGTCTATTTCAATTTGGTCTAAATTCAAAGATAATTTTCTCAAAAAAACCTCTTTGGCTGTCACAAATGTTTCTACATCCATGTCAGGATTATCTAACAAATATTTAAACCATAATCGCAATCGGGACCAGCATACGTACATTTTTTTACGACATATTTCTTTTACGAATACTTTGTCTAAGACGAGCTTGTTTCATAGACGAACAATATTTTTTTGTTATTAAACCAGGACCGTATCATATTCTTTAGTAGTCGCACCGTCTAGAAGTGCTGAGATTCTCGCTCCTGAGATTATTGAGTTTTTTAGTATTAGTTAGTGTATTTAATTCATTATTTTTTTACCAAAGTGTTAATATCTTGAGTCCTCGATTTTTCGATTTCTAGATTTTCAATTTTTTTATTTTTCGACTTTTCGTAAGATTTTCAAATCTTTCCCATTTTCGATGTTTCGAATTGTCGATATATCGGAATTTCCAATTTTCAAAATTTGTTTTTTCAAGTTTTCGAATTTTTCTATTTTTCAATTTTTCGTTTTGATTTCTGGAATTTACAACTTTACATTTCGCTATTTCGAATTGTGGACTTTGCGATTTGTCGATATCCGAATTTTATTTTTTTTATTTTTCGATTTTTCAGTTTTTCCATTCTTCAGTTTTTCGATTTTTATTTTTTTAACTTTTCGATTTCTCGATTTTTCAGCTTCCGAATTTTGATTTTCCGATTTTTCACTTTTTCTATTTTTCAACGTTTTCGATTTTTGTTTTTTTTTCGATTTACGGATTCTGGAAGGATTTTTCGAATTTTAATTTTCCGATTTTTCAGTTTCTCCGTTCTTCAGTTTTTCGATTTTTCAGTCTTTCTCATTTTTGGTTTTTTGATTTCTCATTCCATTCATATTTTTTAGATTGGTAGCTCAAAAAAAATTAATGAATGGGTCAATACCCTTATTATTAGTATTACATTGCACCAACCCAATTTGATAGACACAAAATTTTGTAAAGTAAAGACTGGTTTGAAACATTAAATTTATATAAAGAAATATCGATTTTGCAATTAAGCTCCGCCCCATAATTGCAAGATCTATAGTTTCTTGCAAATAACCATGTTTTAAGTTTCTTGTTGTGAAAAGATGGCTACGTATATTAAAGAAAAGGCAAAATATAAGCCCCGCCCACCCGCCCTATCTCACTTCTGGTGATTTTTTTATTGGTCGTAAACCGAGGGGCGGAGCTTAATTGTAAAATCCTTATTTTTCTACAAGAAATTACAAAGCTGCATATCAAACTATATTTATTCATAGAACTCAAAATACAAAAAGCATTAAAAACTTAACCTACTTCTTCAAACTACGACCTCAGTAGCGACTTAAACCAGAGGATAACTGGCTTGAGTGGCAATTCCGCAATTATTATTGCGATTGCGGGCCATCAGGATGTACCCTCGAGCCCCCCAGGTCTCTCCCCACGAGTTCTTAACAATCCAGTAGTCGTTACCCTTGTTGTCGGTCCCATACCCCACAGCCAAGACTCCGTGGTCCAGCAGCTCCGCGCTGCACTCCGGCTCGTAGTACACCCCGCTGCGGTACTGCTGGAAGCTGTCGTTGCTAGCATCTATAGCGACCGAAATCGGTCCAACCGTAGCAACCGCCTTCTGGAGCGCATCCTCGTCGCCAGCCGCGATGTCCACGAAACCGCGATCCGTAGCCCCCTTGTTCTTGGGGTTGTAGTGGCACCGTTCGTCCTTAGCCTTATACGGGTACGACTTTTCGGTGTCGATGCCTTTGTTAGCCTTGATGTACTCGAAAGCGTAGTCCATCAGGCCGCCGTTGCAGCCCTGGTTGCCGAATTTTTGGGAGCAGTCCACGAGGTTTTGCTCGCTGAGGGACACCAGTTTCTTGGTTTTGCGGAAGTTTTGCCCCTCCAAGGAGCCCGTCTACGAAATGGCAAGATTTAATCATGCTTACACTTATTTTGAGTACTCACAGCGCTGAACGCCCAGCATGATCCACATTGTCCTTGGTCTTTTATTCCTGTAACCGCCCCTTTCTTCCTCCAGTCCACGGAGGCTGGGACTTCCACGTTAGCAGGAGGGATGAACGTGACGCCATCTTCTATCTCGCTTCCTCTCATTGCGGTTCTATTGAAACCGTTCATGATCTGGATGAACTCTTGGTGCAGCATGTCGGAGTATTTATTGATACCCATTTCGTAAGTGACCAATCCCTGGGCGTACAATTTGTTATGTTGGGCGACTTTGTTGGAGTTTTCCATGAAAATTTTCATGCGAAAGCGGTCTTCGATTTCGCTTGGGTATTGTTTGTTGTAAGTGAACTGCAAATAATTTCATATTCAAACATTTTAATTTAGTCAAGGCAAACATGACTGATGAAGATTATCTTGACAGGTTGTCAAATTTGATTAGTTGGTACTTCCCCCAGATATTTAATCCGCCAGTCAAACACAGCGTGTGTTCGGATGGTGATAACATAGATTAATATAGATGCAACATACAGGCTGATTTTGCAAAACCACCCTTATTGACATTGGAGTCCTCAACCGGCAAAGACAAGCCCCAAATTTAAGTAGTCGATGCCAATAAAAAAACTTGTTTCACAACTCGTTGCCTGAGAACTTGTTTGATCTACAAGCCAGAGTGCGCTCAGGCCAATGTCGACTCTAAGCGTTCAAAAGCGATTTGGTTGGTTTGGACTATAATAATTTCTGGTCGGTTTTTATAACGACCAAGTGAATATTTTTGGTATTTTAAACTAAGAATATTGTTGAAATCGTAATAACCCAATGGATTTTTTTCGGAAAAATATTTTGGAAACACTGTGTTCTATTTTGTATGAATTTTTAAATATTTTTAGTGACAATTTTTGTGGTTGTTTTCGATACACTGTATGAAATTAACAGTGAGAACAAAAAATGAAAAATTAAAATAATCGAAAATTCCAAAAATCGAGAAATCTAATAATCGAAAAATCGGAACCCTAAAAAATCGAAAAATGTAAAATTTAAAAACCGAATAACGAAAAATCGAAAAATCGAAACTTCCAAATTTAAAAAATCGGATAACTGAAAAATCGAAACATCGAAAAACTGGAAAATCGAAAAACCGAGAAATCGAAAAATCAAAAGATCAAGAAATCATGGGGTCGAAAAGTCGAACAATTGAGAATCCGAAATAGGTCAAAATCGAAAAGTTAAAAATTGAGAAATTGACAATCAAAATATGGAAACATCCAAATCTCGATAAATCGAGAAATCAAAAAACTTAAAAATTCGAAAAATTGAAAAATTGGGGGATTGAAAGACCAAAAGAACGGGAAAAGTGATGAAGTCCAAAAATCGAAAAATTGAGAAATCGACAAACAAAAAGTTAAAAGTTGAAAAATTGGAAAAGCGGAAAAATCAAAAAACGAAAAAATGGAAAACTGGAAAAACTGAGAAACCGAAATAGGCCAAAATAAAAAATTGAAAAACTGATAAATCGAAAATCTGAATAATCAAATCTCAATAAATCGGGAATGAAAAATTAACAGATCGAAAAATTGAAAAACTAAGAAATATTGAAAAATTAAAATATCAAAATATTGAAAAATCTAAAATTTAAAATCCAAAAATTGGAAAATCGAAAAAGCAAAAAGGTAAACACATCGAGAAATCCAGAAGTCAAAAACAGAAAAGCCGAAGAATTGAAATATTGAAAAATCCTAAAATTGAAATATCTAAAAACTGAAAAATCGAAAAATCGAAAAGTGAAATCAAAAAATAGAAACCTTAAAAAATCGAAAGATTGAAAAATCAAAAACCTGAAAAATCAAAAAATTAAAGAATTGAAGAACAGGAAAATCGAAACACTCGAAGGTCAAGAAATGGGAAAATCAGAACATCGATTTATTGAAAAATCGAAAATTTGACAAAATGACAATTGAAAAACAGAAAATCTATAACCGGGAAGTCGAAAAATCTAAAGATTAAGAAATCGAAACATTTGAAAAATTCGAAAAAGTGAAAAATTCAAATATCGAAGTACTGAACTCAGAAATCGAGAAATCGAAAAATCCAAAATTTAAAAATCGAAAAATTGAAAAATCGTAAAAGTAAAATAATCGACACATCGAAAAATCCAGGAGTCAAAAATCGAAAAGTCGAAGAATCGAAGTTTTTGAAAAATCCCAAAACTTAGATATCGAAAAACTGAAAAATGAAAACTTGAAAAATTGAGAAATTGTGAAATCCAAAAATTGAATAATAAAAATGAGTTAACTGAAAAGTCCCCAAACTAAAATTTCGAAAAACTGAGAATTCGAAAGTTGAAACATCAAGAAATTATGGTCGAAACCGGTTAGGATGTGTGTCAGATCACGGATCATGGCTAATAAATCAAATCGTTTCCGAACGCTTAGAGTCGACATTGGCCTGAGTGCGTTCTGGTCTGTAGATCAAACAAGTTCTCAGACGACGAACTGTAATTCTTGTGACCTGAATTAAAATGAAGGAAATAGTAAGCAGCTTGTAATATTCTGGTCAATTTGTCGAAAGTAAAACGCGTCGTTAAAAATATTATGACATTTTAGTTAATTTTATTCCTAGTTAGCAACAAACAGTGTTGCCAACATAAGACGAGGAGTCCTCAACCGTCATTAAATTTAAACTATTACGCTTCTCTATGTTCTCTGGTGATAATTTAGAAATGTAGGAATTTTACTGCAGCTGCTGTTGTGATAAGTTGTTTGAAATATTTATATCGAATGGGATGATACGTCTGCAGGGCAACACGCTGGTGAATCCCCGGTCTAGTTTTAGTTATCATTAGAATGTTAGTGGGATGACTCATCGTGGCGCCTTTTGATATTAAAAACTAAGTTCTTTTTCAAATGGCCTTCAGTTTATTAATCTTAATGTCACTGTTTACTTGTCCGGTATTTTAACGTGATATAATATTTGTTTAGCTGTAGCTTAATCTAAAGTTCGCAGATATTGACACAAAAGACGGTAGTGCCCCCAAATTCAGTCTTCTAGTCAAACAAGAAGTCATTGAAGTTTTTTTTTTCAATCAACAAGTTATAACTTGAAAATTCTTGAAAAAACTAACCTTGTAAGTGGCCCATTGTTCTTGTTCTAAGTTGGAAAACGACACTGCTTGGCTGCCAGTTACACAAACGGCTAGGAAAATTTGGAACTTCATTGTTCTGAAAAAAAAAACGAAATTAATAGCAAAGGTGGCACAAAATGGTGTAATAAAGCCACCAGTGGCACGGGAGTCAAAAGAAAAAGTTTAATTACCTCTTGTTGTTCGACTGTTCTGTTCACCTCGACCACAAAACAGAAAATGATTGAGAATAAAAAAATGGCGAGATTCAAATTGTAATGATGATTAAGAACCCCCTTCCACTGCGCCGCCAACTTGCAGAGCGTGGTTAATTTTTTTTCATCTGTTATTACCGCAAATGTGTGTAAATTAAAATTTCGCTGTTTTATGACTTCTGCAGACATCAATTTATGATTTTGTTGTCTCTCTTGTTGAAAATAAATCACTGTTAAGTATTTTAGTGATATAAAGCAGTTTTGCCAGTCGTGCGAAAATGGCTGATCAGTTTGATTGTTCAGCCGATCGGCGCAAAATTTTGGAAGAAAATGCGAAACGAAGAACTTTTCTTCGTAATGTGTTCTTGAAAGAAGTTTCCGACCCGTTTAGACATGCCTCGGGGGAAGGAGGGACCGTGGTAAGTCGAAATGGTGTTATGTCATACCTAACCTAAAATAACCAAAGCAAACTTTATTTGAAAATTGCGGTGTTGTTTCTTCGAACGAGTTGTTTTGTTTCACTTTATTTACAACGACAATCATTACAAAGAGGGGTATGAAGCAGCAGTTGCGATACCGCAGTTGTTGTTGTGGTTGCGGACGGGTCTGTAGAAACCACTTTCGCCCCATTGCGGCCCCCAAGAGTTCTTGACGATCCAGTAATCGTAACCGTCTTCGGAACCATACCCTACGACGAGGACACCATGTTATGTTATATATAAAGATTATATATAAAAATAAATAAAAATGACTGAACAGTATTAAGAATAATCACTGGAATGAAGAGGGGGTGGGTGGGCGGGGCTATTGCTTGCTTGCAAAAGATTCCATAGGCAAAATCTTGACTTAACCCCACCCACCCACCCGTTCTCTCATTTTTTTGGCAAATGACTGAACAGTATTAAGAGTAATCACTAGAATGAAGAGAGGGTGGGTGGGTGGGGCTATTGCTTGCTTATAAAAGATTCCATAGGAAAAAACTTGACTTAACCCCACCCACCCACCCTTTCTCTCATTTTTTTTGGCAACTGACTGAACAGTATTAAGAGTAATCATTGGAATGAAGAGGGGGTGGGTGGGCGGGGCTATTGCTTGCTTACAAAAGATTCCATAGGAAAAATCTTGACTTAACCCCACCCACCCACCCGTTCTCTCATTTTTTTGGCAAATGACTGAACAGTATTAAGAGTAATCACTGGAATGAAGAGAGGGTGGGTGGGCGGGGCTATTGCTTGCTTACAAAAGATTCTATAGGAAAAGTTTGACCTAACCCCACCCACCCACCCGTTCTCTTATTTTTTTGCTAAATGACTGAACAATATTAAGAGTAATCACTGGAATGAAGAGGGGGTGGGTGGGCGGGGCTATTGCTTGCTTACAAAAGATTCCATAGGAAAAAGCTTGACTTAACCCCACCCACCCACCCGTTCTCTCATTTTTTAGGTAAATGACTGAACACTATTAAGAGTAATCATTGGAGTGAAGAGAGGGTGGGCGGGGCCAGTACCTGCTAGGATAAGATTGATTTTCGCAAATGAGATCCCTCTAAAAATAGAGGGCGGGTGGGCGGGGTTAGTACTTCCCAATCTAAGACTGATTTTGGCAAATGAGATACCTTCCAAGAGAGGGCGGGTGGGCCGGGCTAGTACCTGCTAAGATAAAACTGATTTTGGAAAATGAGATACCCTGTAAGAAAAAAGAGAGCGGGTGGGTGGGGCTAGTATTTGTTAAGATAAGACTGATTTTAGCAAATGACGTATTCTCCAAGAAATTTAATCAAATTCTCTCCAAACAGGAATACCTAGAACCTCAAGATTGTTTTAAATTTTCAAAAAAAAAAACGGTATTCGTAGTCTTTTATTCGTAATTAGAAACTTAAAACATGTTTAAAATGGTAATTTTTTGTAAACAGAGATAGACTTTGCAATTAAGCTCCGCCCTCTTGGCTCACGACGAATAAAAAAATCATCACAATTGAGACAGGGCGGGTGGGCGGGGCTTATATTTTACCTTTTGTCTTCTTAATATACATAGTCTTCTTTTCACAACAAGAAACGTAAAATATGTTTGGAATGGCAAATTCTCATAGACAATTGTGGAATTTCAATAACTTAACACTTGTTATTTTTATCCAATTGGTTTTAATTATTTAAACTTATGTAGATTTGTGCGTCATCATAAACCTGTCAATTTTTGGTTAAAATATTTAATTAAACTTAGGATTATTCGATATACATATGAATGAGATATTTATGCCATCAAATGGAAAAAAATGCATAAACTCACCTCAAAACTACAATATATTGAAAAAGATTTAAAAAAGTGCAAAGTGTAGTAGAAAAATCTGAACTCCAAATTCATTTTTTCTAGAAGTTATTTAACATTTTTACCTTATCAACAGTCACTTAAATTATCTTATTGTATACAGTTTCGTTTGTGATTTAGAAATTCGAAATAAAGCACATAGCTTAATTACACGAATTTAAAAAAATACTTGTTCATATTCATTTGATTTCTTTATTTTTCAGTAAACTTAAAATGCAGTTTCGTGCAGTTTAATTAACATACGGTGATTCGGTGTAAATGACGAATGTGATTTGTGGTTGCGGCAACCCGAAATACATTATTCATTTATACCGTGATTCACACTATAATTTCAAAAATATCACAAATCCACGAAGTTTGTTACACATTGCATTTAAAATAAAAGCTGACGGAAATAATTCTCTGAAAAACGGGTTCACGAATCCATCGTGGATTTTCTTGGACGTAATAATGTAAATTATGTTTGTTTACATTACAATTGTTGATAAATTGTCGAACAAAATTGTAAAATGGGAAGTAATATTTTGGAAAGTTAATTTCTCGTAGTTCGTGAACTAACTGTATATGATACGGGTGGAACTTGTTAGCCTCTAACATTCGTCAAGTAGAAGATTGGCTTATGCCAATTTAATATAATTTTTTTTCTTACGGCTTGAATTTGAACATTTATTCTCGAATGATTAGTTTGATTTTCATCGTACTGAATATTACCCACTGTGTTTTGTTTTACGTGATATGGGGGTTGAATTAGTTTGAATTTCTTTTTGAAAAATCTGTTATCTCAATATCTTCTACCAAAAAATGTTTCAATGTTAAGCAAGTTATTAATCGCTTTGTATTTGGTGTTATCTGCTTCGATTTTTAACAAATTTCGCGTAAGGATGACAAAGCGTTTCAAATCATCCTTATCAGACAAGTACTCTGTTGTGTCTAGGCCAAAATTTATTTAGTTCATTCCACGTTTCAAAGCATTCCTGAAATTTTGGAAATATTTACAATTTTGAGTCTCACAAGATCTCCGATTAAAAAAAAAGGTATGCAGAGGGTTTAATTACACTTTTTAACCCTTAAAAAGTTAAAAACTACTATCTTGTTTTCATTTGTGAATTTTTCTAAAAATTACTGGATCTTCATTTTACCAAACATTCAAAATTTTTATAACCGAGATTTTCAATGTTTTCAAAATTTTCGTTACTGAAGTTGTGCCTGAGTTTTGGATACCTGAGATGACAAAAGTGAATCTCTGGTCGTTAAGGTTTTCCGAATTCGCAAAATTTTTTAAATTTTCAAAATTTGTCCGAACGTCAAAATCGTCGATGTTTAAAAAAATTTCTTTGAAACATCATAGATTCCTTCAAAGAGTTTAAACTTAAGTATGTTAAAAATGTATTTAGTTCAATCCACGTTTCAAAGTATTTCTGAATTTTGGAAATCTTTACAATTTTTAGAATCTCACAAAGTCTTCGATTGAAAAAAAAGTCTTTGCGAAATGTACAGAGGGCTTAATAGAAGTTTTTAACCCTTAAAACATTAAATACTACTTCTAATTTTCAAATTGTTTTCAAATCACAGAAATTTTTAAAATTTGGAAGATTTTCGAAATTTAAATTCTCGAAATTTTGACGAGTTACATCAGAGTTTTATATAGCCAGGTTATTAAAAACCAATTATTTGTTAATCGCCATCAAGATTTTCCAAAACTTCAGAATTTTTGGAATTTTTGAAATAAAAATTTCAAAGTTTAATCAAGTTTTTAATTAGGTGAACCCTTCAGCATCTTTTTTGCGTTTCTTAGCTGATACTTACTGCACTAAAAGTCCAAGACGACCCACAGTCCCCCCGTCTTTAATATCACTTATTACGTTTTTGGTCGTCCAGTCAACTTCGTCATCGACTGGTTGCTTGGAAGGAACGTATCGTCTGCGAAATTTTCCAGGCACTTGTGTTTCAGGAGCTTTAGTCCGATTTACGAACGCAAGAAATTCATCAGCTGTTAAATCCCCGAACTTATTAATCGCTTTGTAATAACTAACTTCGTCATTTTTGTATTTGGTGTTGTGTGCTTCAATTTTCGCCAGATTTTGCGTAAAGATGACAAAGCGTTTCAAATTGGTTATCTGACAAGTACTCTTTGTTGTGTTTGGCCTAGAAACAAATGATGGAAGGGGTCTAAATGTGGTGAAAATTACCTTGAAATTAGCCCATTGGTCTTTGATGGTACTTTGAGGGATCGCAGTCGCGAGAGCGACTACACTTACAATTAAGACAACTGTAATCTTCTGGTGTCAGGGCACTAATTCGTCTCCTTATATGCACCATAGTCAATATCTTATCGTTTGAAAGGCGCAACTTAGTAAAAGTGACTTGTTGAAAATTTCAAAATTTTATTATGTATTAATTACATCGTAACATTCTGGAAGATTTGTTTACAAAGATGGGTATGAAGCAGCAGTTGCGATACCGCAGTTGTTGCCGTAGTTACGGATGGCTCTGTAGAAGCCACCTTCTCCCCAGCCACCTCCCCAGGAGTTCTTGACGATCCAGTAGTCGTAACCACCTTCGGAACCATATCCTACGACGAGGACACCATGGTTGAGGTCTCTGTCGTTGCAAGTGGAGTCGTAGATGATGCCCTGGCTGTAGAATTGGAGCTCATCGGTGGCGTCAATAGCCACAGAGACGGGTCCATTGTTGCCGACAGCGTTGGCAAGAGAGTTTTCGTCTCCAGAGGGCAGATCGTAGTATCCATTGATGCTGGTGACCGATTGAGAAGCGTCGTATCTGCAGTTGTCAAGTTGGGCTTCATAGGGGTAGGCGCTTTCGCTCATGATACCATAGTCATAGATGTAGTTGAAGGCGCTGTCCATCCAACCACCGTCGCAAGCAGCATTACCATACCCAGTAGAACAGTCAATCAAGTTCTGTTCACTGAGCGAGATGAGTTGTCCGCGATTGATGGCGAGTTGCCCTTCCACGGAGCCAGTCTGCGAAAAAAATCAACACTACTCAAACCCTCGAGAATGTTCCTACTCACGGTGCTGAAACTCCAGCAGGATCCGCATTGTCCCTGGTCCTTGACTTCGGTGACGGCGTTGCCTCTCCAGTCGACGTCGGCGGCGGCGGGTTTCTTGGAAGGCACCCACTTCTTGGCCAGTTTCTCGTTCTTGACGGGCTTGGTGGCCTTGCCGCGGTTGACGTAAGCCAAGAATTCCTCCTTGGTCAGGTCACCGAATTGGTTGATGGCTTTGCTGTAGGTGACTTCTCCTTTAGCGTATTTGGCGTTGTGTTCCTCGATCTGGGCCAGGTTGTCTTTGAAGATGACCAGACGGCGAACTTCCTCCAAGGGGTTGCTGTATTGTTTCTTGTGGGTCAGCTGGAGGAGGCGGTTAGTAGGGGTATTGAACAAAAATTAAGCGTCTTACCTTGAAATCAGCCCATTTTTGGTGGAGGGCCGATTTGGGGGCTGCCAAAGTGGCGACGATTACCAAAGCTAGAACGATGAAGGTCTTCATGGTGTCTGACGAAACGCTGGCACAGTCAGCCTTTTATACCAAATTTTATCTTTGATTTTTGCAACGGGTTATGGATTTGAGAAGTGGTTTTTGTTCAAATTTTTTTATCGCAGACGGTACTTGAAAAACAATCGAGGAATTGAAAAAATTGTGGAGGACTTTGGTCCTTGCAGAGTTTAGTGTGTTGTGTACCTATTTTTAGTATTTTAACTTATCCAGGAAAATTGCACTAGCTCGTGTAATGTTGGTTGCCTACATTAACAATTCATTTGTTACATTCTACGTCATCTTTCGCCACGATTTGGTTTATTATTACCACGGATTATCATAAAAGCGGCCTTTTTGCTAACCCACCATTGCTTTGTAACAACGATCATTTTCCTGTTTGTTACAAACAAATTGTTGCCAGCCGGAAATTAAAAACAAATAAAATAGTTGCAATTTATTTCAAGTATAATACACTATTTTGTTGTCTCTCCAGATATGAATTTAAAAACATTCAAGTGTGGTCTCTGTAAAAACGTTAAACAATCGATCGCCTGATTGATAATCGAGTGAATTGTTCGAAGATAAAATTTTTAAAACGGATCATCGTATCTTATTTATTCGGTCGTTGAAAAGTCAGGATGAAGCTGTCGGTTCTTTCGTTCGCACTATGCCTCGTAGGGGTGCTTTCAATCCCCAATCCTAAGGTGAGTGTTCCTGGAATAACCCCCCAAAATAAAAAAAAAACTTAAATAGGAACATCGTCGCATTTTTAACCCCGATTTCGTTGCGGACATTCCCGATTCCGTCGACTGGAGGGAACAAGGAGCCGTCACTCCCATCAAAAACCAAGCTCTTTGTGGGGCTTGGGTCTACAGTGTCGTATGTATCCAACCCCGATTCCAAATTCGCACTACCCTGACTCTTTCAGACCGGTGTTCTCGAGGGCCAAAATTTTTTAAAAAATGGTGAACTCGTTCCGTTGAGCGAGCAAGAACTGGCCGATTGCGCAACCCAAGATGGTTGTAGTGGAGGAACCGTCGAGGAGGGCTACGAATATGTGATAGCCCATGGTCTGGCATCCGCAGCGGATTACCCAGGCCCCAGCGATGGGACTTGCCATCGAGGTTCCATTCCTTCCACAGTCACAGAAAGTGACTACGTTACGGTAGAACACGACGAAGAGACTCTTCGGCAAGCCGTTGCCACGATTGGTCCAATTTCTGTGGCCGTTAACGCTCTACAGTGGGAGTTGTACGTCGGTGGGATTTTGAAATGTGAGGATTCGGAGACTTTGAACCATGGGGTGCTCCTGGTTGGGTATGGTAGCGAAGATGGGGTGGATTATTGGTTGCTGAAGAATTCGTGGGGCGAAGCCTGGGGCGAAAATGGCTACATTAGGGTGGATAGGACCCCTGGGGCCGATTGCGGAATAACTTTGGCAGCTACATATCCAGTTGTTTGAAATTGATTACTATTATTAAACCGCATTGTTACAATTTTAGTTTTTTTTTTATATATAAAAATAGAACACTGTTACTATCTCCAGATGCGAACTTACTCGTAAAAACAGATAATCGCGTGATTCGTTTTAAGATTAATCTTCCATCACAAACAAACCAGTCTCAATTTTTGCAAAGCAAAATGAAACCGTTACTAATTTGCGTCCTCGGCTTGTTGTCCGTCTCGACTTTCGCCCTCCCCGATTCCGTCGACTGGAGAGACCAAGGCGCCGTCACCCCAGTCAAAAACCAAGGCCTTCTCGATTCACCTTGGCTCTTCAGCGTCGTACGTATCCAACCTCCCTTATTTCCAATTACAACCAAAATTGTAGACCGGCGCTCTCGAGGGGCAAAATTTCCTAAAAACCGGCCAACTCATCGCGCTGAGCGAGCAAGAGCTAGCCGATTGCGTCAGCGTGAATGGTACGACCGAAGATGCCTACAAGTACGTGATCGGGCACGGGCTGGCGGCCGATGCGGATTACCCCCATCTTGACGACGGTAGTTGCCATCGCGAGTCGATTGCGTCAGCGGTCACTGAAATTGCGTACGTTGAGGTGGACTACGACGAAGAGGTGCTTCGGAGGGTGGTGGCCGCGGTGGGTCCGGTGGCGGTCGAGGTTAATGCGCGTGCGTGGACCACGTACGCTGGCGGGATTTTCAAGTGTCGGAGACCGGTGCCGACGAACCATGGGGCGCTGCTGGTGGGGTATGGGAGCGAAGATGGGGCGGATTATTGGTTGGTGAAGAACTCGTGGGGGGAGGAGTGGGGCGAAGGGGGGTATATTAGGGTTGAGAGGAGTATTGAGGGGGATTGCGGGATTACGTTGTATGCTACTTATCCTGTTGTTTGAGGTTAATGATGATTAAATCGTATGATTATGAAGTGGTTTAAATAAAACCACAACCTAAATAAGCTAATTTTTCGAAAAGGAACAAATACTGTTATGTGCTTGTGAAGAAATTCATTATCTGGTAGAAAACTGGTTCTTATATGGCAATTAAAGAACATAATTTTCGTTTTATAAAGTAATAAAACAACTGGGACGCTAATAAATAAATTATAGCTAAATGTTTTGCCTGACTTTTTAGTAATTGGTGATGTCAGTGAAGAAATACATAGAAATCTTCAAAATTTTTCTGGTCGTCAGAGTGCAAGTATTCATAAAACGTGTCTGCTTCATCGGTTATATACAGGGTGATTTTTTTTCTATTGGAATGAGCAAACTGAGTGAAGCTAATAAAAGATCTAATGCGAACTAAAATTTTGGTACGCGCGCTACTTTGGAGATACAATTAAAATTTTTAGTGAGAAATCAAAGTTTTGAGAAATCTATAATTTTGGGCGGAAAACCCGAGTTGATGCATTGTTGAAAATTAATAATAAATTTAACTCGTTAGGTAAAATTTTCAAATCTTGATATCGTGGACTTCAAACAGTCGGGAATATCTTAAAAAAATCAAAATTTTTACTCAGAAATTATAATTTTTGAAGAAAGTTCATAATTTTTCGAGAAAATAAGATTCGAAAGACAAATTTTGAAAAAAATCAAAAATTGTAGACGAAAACCCGAGCTGATGAATTGTTGAAAATTAATAAAAGGTGAAAATCTTTGGGTAACATTTTTGTAGAAAATATGATGACTCAAAAAACCAAATTTTGAAAAAAAACTTGAACCGTGGGAGAAAACTCGAGCTGAAGGAATCATGAGAATTAATAAAAAATGAAAATTTTTGGGAAAATTTTCAATGCGTGATTTTGAATAGAACGTCAAGTTCTTCAAAAATTGAAACCAAATATTAAGCATTCATATTTTTTAGATTTGCATATACAGTGTGACTCAAAAAAAAATGAATCAGTCAGTTTATTATTGATCAAATTAAGAACGAGCCACCCCATTTTCTGGTAAAAATAAAATAATGTAAGGTAAGAATTGTAATAACAACATTCAACTGTCTACGTGACATTCTTCCGATGTATAAACATCAACTTTTTAAACACTACGCATATTGCTTAAGGGAACTCGCTAGACGAGGTATAACATTTTTTTGGTTTTTTATATGAAAAAATGATACTAATATAGATGTATCATACATCAAACTGCAGCTTTTTTCATATTCTAGAGCGCAGAGACCAGTTCAATCAATTAAAAAAATCTGGCTGAGAAATATCGTAAAAAAAGCACCATTGTATGTTTTCTTTTCAAGTTTTTTGAGTCATAACCATCATAGAATCGCTTGAAAATTCGCACATGGATAACACACCACTTTCTGCAGGGCGCAGAGTCATTAAATGTTTGTTAGTGGTACAATTTGTTTAAATAATAATGTGTTTATTAAAATCAAAATATACCACAAATTAATGCAAAATACGTCGAATAATTTTAACAGGAATATCAGAGGAAAATTAATGATCTATTGGTTTGCAGAGCTTTTAACAAAGACTGACAATTATTGAAAAAAATGGGTATCAATTCGACAGAATTTGAGCAGTTAGTTCAGCACTTTGCCGATAGGAGCGCCACTAAAATTTACGGAAGCGACTTTCCAGGTATAACCCTTATCGCCTGCTCTACCATAAGCTGATTGTTAGAGTTCTCGGTTGATTTTTCTAATTTATGGCAAGGAACTCAATTTTATAACAAGCCGCCAGGACCGGCCGTAGTAATCTATTGTTAAGGAAATTAACTTTTACGCAATGAGGTATAGTGCTGCAATTGCTGGTTCGTTTTTATGACTGCATCCTATTGTAAAGGAGTTAAGTGTTCCACAATAGGCCCCTGCCGCAAGTAATCCAGCGGTTATAAACCATCAAGGAACCAACTGTCTACACTACACAGAGCCGTATGCGCCCGTAAATCTTTAAGATGATTTATGACACGGCTATTTACATTTTCAATACAGTTCCTAATACTTGCGGTAATTGAGTTTGCAGGGCCATAAAAACGAAGTCAGAGTTGGACCACTATACTATCATAAAACCGAATTAAAACTGGGAAATTATAATATTTTTACTCCACTCAGGATCCTGAATTCAATACACATGATTACTAAAAATTCATTGTAATATTATTAATAAACATATTTATAATAATAATAAAAAATATATAAAATACAGCTTTTGTTTAACATGTATAAGTAGCTAACTGTATCTACTACTTATCCCAGAAAGGAGGTGTTTTAAAAAAGCCCTACGCCCAGTAACTTCTCCCTTCATTGTTTACTCGAAAAAAGTGCTCGTATATGTTTTCATTTGCCGAGAGATCATTTTCAAAATATATTTATAATAAAAATATGCAAGTCTTGGTGATGAAAAATGTACTCCTAAAAAATTATTAAAGTACATAAAAAAATAGAAACAAATTTTATTTATTTTAAAAAAAGCTCTCGCAAAGGCAGGTTCCTCTTTCTGCTTGAATCAATTATTTCGGGCAATAAAGCGCCAAAGCAAAATCTGACAAGTTTATCTGCCATCTTTTTACATATATTTCTTCGTCTTTATAAATTTTTTCTATATTTATTCCTTTGGATGTCCATACAACAAAATAAACTTGTGAAATACCCGTAACAAACATTTGTCCCTGGACTTGAAAGTAGTAATCATGATTCTTTTTTTAGTTTCAATTCTCAATTTTTTTTCTAACCGCTTCTTCGGGAGACAAATCTTGCGATTTTGAAGGACATTTAATTTCGACTAATGCACTCCTATCCTCTAGAACCCTGTCTGGACTAGCAGTCAAGTAAGGAAAATGTTTTGAAATAAACAAGCCACACCGTTCAGTTTTTATATTTTTATTTATTTCAAAACACTTGACAGCTTTTTCCTCACTTTGCTGTCCATAGTATGTATGACTGTTACCTCTAAATGTACTGTACAACAGAGACTCCACAGTTTTAGCTATTGCTGTAGTCGGTCTAAGTTTGTAAATACGTCCAAAATTTGAAGCCGTAACCCTAATTTCTCTTTATTTTGCCCAAATGTGCCTGTTGCCTAGTGTCTATTTCAATTTGGTCTAAATTCAAAGATAATTTTCTCAAAAAAACCTCTTTGGCTGTCACAAATGTTTCTACATCCATGACAGGATTTTCTAAAAAATATTTAAACCATAATCGCAGTCGGGACCAGCATACGTACAGTTTTTTACGACATATTTGTTTTTACGAATACTTTGTCTAAGACGAGCTTGTTTTATAGACGAACAATATTTTTTTGTTATTAAACCAGGACCGTTTTAATCACAATATATTTACTTATCCCCTCTAAAAAATTGATGACGTCACCTCAAAATTTTGCTGAATAAATCCTATCTAAATTGTATAAAATATGATGAGTCTCTTCTTGTGATTTATGATTCTATTCATGTTTTTTGGATTTGCATATACAGGATGACCCCAAAAATTAATGAATGCGTAAATTTATTTGATTGATTTAATCAGGAACTACAGAACCAAATGCTTTGAAATCTTGCAAATGTTTTAAGGTTATAAAGAGCATAATAAATTTTTAGTCAATATATATTTGCTTATCCCCTCCAAAAAATTGATGACGTCAGCTCAAAAGTTTGCTGTATAATCCTATTTAAAATTTACAAAATATGATGAGTCTCTTCTTGTAATTTATCATTTCATTAATATTTTTTGGATTCGGATATACAGGGTGACTCAAAAATTTAATGAATGCGCAGATTTATTTTATTGATTTAATCAGGAACTACAAAACGGAATGCTTTGAAATCTAATGTGAAAAAAAAAACATAATAGGCCTGCAGTCGTGACGTTTCCGATGGCGAGGGAAGTACTGTCTAAACCCTTTAGACCAATTTTTTTGATTTTCCCATTTCTCCATTTTTCAGTTTTTCAGTATTTCAGTTCTGAGATTTTGTAATGTTTCGGTTCTTCAATTTTTCCATTTTTTGATGTTTCGATTTCTCGGTTTTTCAATTTTTCGATAGGTATTTTAATTTTTCAATTTTTAAGTTCTAGATTTTCCGTTAATTTTTTT